TCTGATAGTAGGATATACTTAATGTTAATTTAGATTAATCCTAAAAAGTTCTTAAATCATTAAATAACAGAGTTTGTATTGTTAATTATTTATTAAACGATAATTATTTATTATATAAAAATCGCGATTACCTCTATTAGATTTACTAACTATAACTATAAACGATTAACAAATTTGAAATAATTAATTCATACTCATCGCTACAATTTATTTTGCAAATTGCACAACCTTCCATGTAATTTTTTCATAGCTACATGCTACGCGATTTAATAAGTTTTGCATTCACGAAATTTTATAAAATAAAGTCTCTCGCCACGTATGTATGTCTGTCTGAACGCGATAGTCTCAAAAACTGCTGAACGGATTTTCACAGGTTATTTCCATTTTTTATTATCCATAGGTGAAGTAGCTTATGAGGAAGGTTTAAGTGTATGATGAACATTAGGTTTTGTTTAAATTGGCTAAAATCTGACGATGACTATTGAACATTTCGGTAGAAAGCATGCCGCGTGGACAAAACCGGCGATCAAGTCTCACATAGACACTGGCAGTTGAATGCAAATAAATATTTCAATTTGTTTGTTTAGATGTTTAAAATAATTCTTGAAATAAAATACATTAAAATTTCTAAAAAATTGTATGATTGTCAATTATGATTTGAATGTAACGCACCCGCACGACGGGCGTAGCCACAGCCGCTTCAGATATGAATGTCATTAAGTAAAAGCACAAACCGAGGGTCCCTCTCGGGGGCGCTTGAGCCTAGTTACTCCATAGAGCGTACGCCAAAACGACCTAAGAGTCTAAAGGCTTGGCTGCCTCCCAAACCGGTACTAATAATAATAATAATAGCGTCACGGTCCGAGCCGAGGCATCCTCGGGAGGCCCCGAGCTTAGTCGCCCATAATCGAGGTACAGGCTAGGCGCCCTCAGCGCCCGGCCTTCTCCAGCCCGCTGGATCTGTAAAGGCCTCCTCACGGCCAGCAACTGGATGATGCATAAAAAAAATATGAATATTTAAAATTTGCTCGCTTTGTGTGCTCCAAAAACATATATCTTAATGTCATATTTTTCAATTCTAAACTTGTAAATTTCCATAGCTTTCTAATATTCATGTTACAAGTATTAAGCTTTTTATGAATTAAAAGCGTGCGCCCGAACACTAAGCTATTAATTTGACGAAACAATTATAATCCTAATGGTGTTCTAGATATACATGAGTAGTAATTACTAAACATTAGGCAAACTGTCATCGTGAACACAACAATTAAATTTAATCCTTCGTTTCGTACGAATGCTCTCTACTTTATCCATTATATTTATACTCAATCAACATCTTCAATGTTTGGCGTCGAGTCAGTGTCAGAAGCGTACAAATAAAACATATTAAAGAACATAGTTGAAAATTTGTCTAAAAGCTTGCTAGACTTAAGTTAATCGACAACAATTCGTCGCGGATTCGTGCTCGAGATAAGCAATTGTCCGAGCGAGGGCGCAACATTGTGTCGCACGCGCGAACCGAATAATAACAACAGACACCTCCGCCCTGTACGCAAAACTTTTCCTCTCACTACGAACATTCGCTGAACAAACCACCGCCGGTACATATTTATTATGTTATCTTAAATTTCATCTGTAATGAAATAGAAAAGAATACCGAGCATTTGAAAATATGAATAAGTATGATCAAACACACCCCAAATAAGACACAGTCAATTGTTATATTCAAACATCCATATTAAACAATAATTACTCTAATTAATTAAGAGGATACAAAATTAATTTTTCACGTGTAAATGTTCTGACTTATAGGGTTTGTTAACATGTAGGGTCAATATTTTGAAGCCAATTTAATGGGGGTAAAACCATTCTATTCGATTTGCGATTTTTCGATTTCAATAGAACAATAACTAACAAAATACATTTTACTACTAATTTGATTACATATTGCAGCAAAATAACATAAGAAAAAGAATGACCCACGAGGCACGTGTACTCGAATGAATAAGCCTGTCCTTGGTATGGGTACAATGTTTGATTATTCCAAAATATCCCAAGAATAAGAAGAATAGTAAAAAAATAAGGATACGTAGAAAATTCCGTCTCGATAGAACCCGATAGAGTCGCGTACAAAATCAGTGTTTTATATATTTCCCTAATATATATTCTCACCGTTTAGGCATGACACTCGTTCGATGCTCAACGAGTTTATACAAAAAGTCATGTCATATGTTTGTAAGCTAAGCTAATCGAGCCGAATCACAAAAACGCTATATGCTGAAACCGAATGTGGAGTAGCCCCATCAGTCAAAGCTGTCCCGCCTCCCGCCTCCGTCTTCGATAATCCATCTTCAAGCCGGGGGCGAAGGTACTGCGTGAAAGACAAGTCGATTCAGCAAACGATTAAAAGCACAATCTCTTTCGCAATATAACACAACAAGTCTTCAAACCGGAATGTCGCTAAACAGCTAGTCTGCATTTTAAATTTTATATTAATGTGAAACATAAATAACGTTGTTAAAATTACGCGTGAATAAAGTGCACTTATGCGAAAGTACGTTACTCTTGCAACATGTAGGCAGTGTGGGCAAGAAATCCACCTTCGAGTCGCGAGATAATCTACGGTTTACTCCCTTGCATCAGTTTAAGACTTTTTTCGCTGATGCCAGTGATGGAACTTTTTCCAATCCTCTATTGACCGTAGGTAATACGAATTTCAATAAATCTAGTAAAAGCTTTTTGAAGTCTCTTAACTTATTAAGATTTCTTACGAAATTACTCTATGCAGGTACCTCGTTAAAGTAATAAGCCTGAGGTATACTGGTATACTCGTTTTCTTTGTTTGCTAAATCATAAACTACTTGTTATAAAGATTTTTACTCAATGGTAGACACACACAGCAGGCACACCGCTTTCGCATTTCCCAAGTTCAGTAATGACTGTCTCAAATGTGTGCCGGTGTTCAGCCAAAGAGCCGTCGACTGTCGCGCGTCAAGCGTTTTCTCCGTGTACGGTTTCAAGATTAGAGATTAGAGCGCTTGTTTCATTATAACTTTGTGTCTCTGAGCTTTTATGTCGATCTAGTTTAACTTCTATTAAAGAAACAATGTAAGTAGAGAATACAATCATGGGCATCATTAATAATCGCGGAATCATGAGATTATTACCTGTATTGAATTAAATTAAATTTTTTTTTCGTCGACGAGCACAACATCGCCTTAAATTTACATATATTATTAACAGGATTAATTAAACGTTAGAACAATTCGACGTTGAACATTAATTGTTTTTGAAGCTCAAGTTTGTTTCATCGATTTAAAAACTGTGCTAAAATCTTTGCTGAAAGTTCGGAGCATATAATCAAACAATATTTGTATGCTGGTCGAATAGAACTTTTCCGAAATGTGTGAAGGATTAACAGTTCTTAGCACAGTTTTCGAAAAAATATTATTTACTAGTCTACTAATTGCATTAGCAATAACATTTAGTCCTAGTTCAACACTGCTAAATTTCAGTTGAATCGGTGTAAGTGAGAAAAAGGCCGAAGTATCGCGTGTGCGACGGCGCTTGATCGATAATCGACGGCATAAATAATCCGTCTATACCTCGAAATGGGGCTTGCAATATGTCTCAAACTATCGACGTTATTACTGTGGCTGCAAGTAACAGCGAGGAGAGCTTGACGAATGTCAATAACCAAATTCATAATGTTCTATTGAAAAGTAATCTTCTGAAGTACACTCTGCGTGATCTATTCTGATCTCCTCTGACATCCCGGATATTTAAATGCTTGCCCTCAGTTTGACTCCGGATCCTGCGCATCGAGGACGAGGCCTTTGATTGTGGCATTTTAAATTCATTTTCAATTAATTAGATAGATACTAGCACTCCATAAGCAAAAGTAGTGTGATATTTACATATAAGAGGGAAAATGTCGTTTTAAAGTGAAGTATAACAAAAAAGTAATATACATTCAAAGGGGTACATTACAATATGTAATGTTTTTAAATTTTGTTCTTTAGTTGTTGTCCTCTTCACTATTTTATTATTCAATGCGAATGTGAAACTTGTCGATTAACATGAACATTTTCAAAATAAATTATGAATGCCTGATTCTTCTGTAGATGATCAGAAATTCTAACTTTATATTGTTTCATGATTAGTATTATTAAAGTTTGCGCAAAGAAAGTGATGGATCATAGAAAGTTACACTGAGATTGTAACGATAAACAGAGACACTTTGCTACTTTATTAACGATTTAAACAAAGTTCCTAAAAGGAAGCAATGCTATTTTCAAATTTACTTGCTGCAATAAAATCTGTCGATCATCTAAAATATGATTTAAATCGCAGCAAGGAATTTTTTTTTGAAAAAACAAAATCATAAAATAAGCACAATAGCCCAAAGAATGTGAGGCATATATAAAGCGATTAAATATAATAAGTTATAGATATTAATAGGATTTGATTATATTGGCTTATAAATTTTACCCTCACTTTACGTTAGTAAGCGTTTACGCAGACTTACGTAAAAGATAGCTTAGAACAATAATAAATTATCCTAATAACTAATCCTAAGCGCTGTTTGTGATCGCACCTACCTTACGAGTCAAAGTATACAAAAGTATATAAAAGCAGCACACCGTTTGTCCTTATGGTAAAGTCCTCCATGGTTAAACTTCTTACGGCATACACTGTCCACACACTGTTCTCGTTTGCATAGTCAAAATTTAATTATTTTTAGGGTTCTGATCTGAGGTATTAGGGATCAGAAGATTTACAGTAATATATCGAGATATCCAGTAGCAACCGGTGAATATTTTCTAATTTAAATTATTCACTATTGGAAACATTGTCCGGCGCAGTTGTCTTACGTGTCTTTGTCAGTTCGTAAGTTTCCATTCGAAATAAGTGCAATATTATAAGAATACTCGTAATTAATCACCGTATACTTGAATCCGTGCAGAAACACTTATGTTAATAAGTGACATCTATCCTTAGATTTTCGAATATTCCCACAGTTTGAAATGAACATTATGAGCGTTAGCGCGACACGCGCGCGATGTAATCCGCAGACCCTTCATCGGACCGTGATTTACCGGCAACATGCTACACAGGAAATTGGCAACGCGAAGAGGCATAAAGTGCGCTTTAATATCGTGAGCTTGCAGGCGGAGAAGTGGTGGTGAGTCACGGCCGGCCGCCGGCCAGATGGCCAGAAGCCGGGCCCCGCGGCCACGGCGGTGACGGCGGTGCAGGTCGGGGCGCCGAGGGCCGTGTTGAACAACGGACACCAACGGAAATACGGTACGGTACAGTATGAGACCCACCGCTTCACTTAAGGTCTGAACAGTTAGTTCACATTACAAAGAAACGTAGAAAGCTCCTAAGCATCTATTCGAAAAGTTTAACACGTCTAGTAGAAGAAATGTACGCAATTTGTTATGGTCTTTTCTAAAACATAAGTAAATTATAAACGGAGTACGGTTACAGGATCGGCTGTTGATAGAACATTATTTACTTAAATCACAGAAATCAGTGAAATAAATTTTCAAGTTCAAAATCGCGTAAACAAATGTCGAAAAATTGCACATAAAACTTTGCTCTACCAAAACTTGAATATGAAACGTTTGGGCAACTAAGGGACTAATCCGTCAATTCTGTTTAACATTATTTGTGGGTGCGTCGCGATACATTTGAATGGTGTAAAATGAGTCAAGTGAGGAAAATAAAAGAAAATGTTCGAACCTCCTTGATGAGCGAGAGGCGCCGCGGGCGGGCGGGCGCCGGCGTGTGCATCGCGCCGCGTCTCCTCACCGCACTGGCCCATACACTCGCCGGCCCGCTCGCTCGCAATCCACGACCGACGACGCGACGACACGACGACGCAACGACGCGACTACGCGACCACGACGCTCGCGCCCTCCTCCGTTTCGCACCAACCTATCGATGTTCACGCCGCACGACTTTCGGGATTCGCACACACAGCACCATCGGACAAGGAGTTAATGTGCTCACGCCTAAAGTTAATATGCTTTCAAAACAAATTAAACTCGATAAAATTCGCAAAATAGTTTCTTTTAACAAAAAGCGACATGTAGCTTTTTGGGTTTACAGTATTTTACCTAATTGTTAGTCGACCAACTTCTCAGTATTACCATGGCAACCAATAACAGCTTTTTCCAATTTGCCTATAATTTCACGTTATTTAATTACACCGTTATCCACTGCATTTAATGGCTTTTTCATAAACAAGTGGTACCGGCGCAGGAGATAACATATTTAGTTATTTTTCTTTTTTTATGCTATTGAAGTAATAACTTCTAACGTGTAACGGTACATAAGTACCTACCTACACAAATAAGATATTTTCCCAATTTGTTGTGTTGTCCGATTGTCTGCTGTTCTTTTGTCATATTTACTGTCGGATGCCAAATGTATATAATTTTATCCTCCTTGGTTTTACTAGGAAAGGATTTTTAAAAACTCCGTCTAAGTTTAAATACTAGATAAAAGTATAATAGCGCTGACAAATATGTCAGAAAAAATAATAATATGAATTTTCACATTTAAAAAAACTTTACGTTGATACGGTTCTATTGTATTATTAAGTAGCTAGAATTAATTCGTCGGGATTTAAAAAAATGGCGTAGATTGTACAGTTATATTAATAATAGGCCTTTACCTATGAAATTGCCGTTCTTCAGTACTGGCCATTTCAAAACAAAAAAAATGTTTTGATTTGTTGTGAATTCTAAATTCAAATTAATTTTGTTTTAAAAACATACAATTCTTTTAAATAAGTCAGTTTTTTGTTTATTTGTGGCGACACAATGTAATATGATATATTAGTCGAACGCCCCATGCGCCTTACATTGTGCAGCGCAGTACAGTTCATCGCAAGTAGCTAGCGAACGCATACTGTCATGTGAATATCTTGTAGCGTTAATAATAAATAATATATAATAGTAGCGTAGTATTTATCTCATCTCCTCGTCACAATTTGGAACAAATATAAATAACTCTAACTCTATATATTGATAAGCATTGCTTCAAATGCTAAAAAACAATGTAGAAAAAAGACGTTAAGATTTTCTTTGGCAAACAGCCGTTTAGTGCTTAATGGTTAAAGCGTCAGGCCGCGAATGTCGAAGACTTGGGTTCGGTTCCCACAGCGGCGACAATCTTTTCGTACTTTTTCTACATATTTTAAGGTTAGCTTTATATTTTCATTAGTTTCCGACCGGGTATTAAATGGAACTTGAATATCATTCTTGATTATTTTATCTATTTAAGTCGTTAGGTAGCTAATATCAGATCAGACTAACTATTTAAGTAATAAAAAAAAAATTTTTTATCTAAAGAACAAATTAACATCTTCTAAACTTATTAGTCATTTCCTATGACTTTCAGTAAACAAAAACAAAAATGTAAAAGCCGGCAATAATTTCAGAGCCACCTTTTTCAAAGAAGCTTCGTGTGACAATTTGTGGACAGTTGCACATAAGGTCAGAGATTATTTTGCGGCTCATCATAAATATTATCAGAATATTACTTGATGCTAAAGGTGTCTTCTTTTTTTGTAAATTTATTAATTTGTAATTGTATAAAGTGTTTTTACTAATTAGTCAGCTGTAAGACGATTTAGACTCGTTGAACGTCGCAGCGTCAAATAAAATCCGTTCAGTCAACCAAATTGACAAAATCACATTGACTAGTTCACGAATTTAACTAGTTGATGAGCATGAATGAACGTTGACGAAAAAACCTTCAACGACCCATCGCTAGTGTTCGTCGCTCGCTAGTTGCTTGCATGGATGGACCGCGCTGGTTATGACCGATCATAGCGCAAGAACTCCCGAATGCAGTTTCAGTTGCGGTCGTAGTTTCAGCAGGTTTGGCGCCGAAACCGAAACCAGGTTTTTTGCCGAAAGTCGACCGAAACCGAACATTCGGTCGGACACTAATTTTCATTATGCTTGAACATCTTTCGTCATAATGGATACTTTAAAAATTCTTGTAATTATGGAATGTGAGTTCCGTCGTGGCACCAACGCGGCACAAACGGCGCGTAACATCAACAACATTTACGGAGAGAACTTTATAAACTAACGCACAACCCGTTATTGGTTTGTCCGGTTCCGTTCTGGAAATCTTGACTTGAAAAATGAACCGGGTCCGGACACTTTGATCAACAATTATGAATTAAAGGCGATTGTGGAAGCTGATTCCAAATGCTCAAGTCAGTTATCATTACTTGCATTCACCATATTTTTTTTAACGTAAACAATAACATGACATCATACACATGCTACAATTTGAGTATGACATGAGTATAACATGAGTAAATTTGCTGGCCAAGTTTATGATGAACATCAGGAGAAGCAAAGAACGAACTACACAGCGAAAAAAAAATGAAGATGAAGAATTGTAAGATTGTTCAATGTAGATTCAGCAATTAGCGTTTGATTTATTAAAGGTAGGAAAACGCCTCAAAGTAATGAATTAACTGCATAATAAATATTCAAAAACAGAAACTATTCTGTCACAGTTATGTACGAAACAATCGTTATCGATAGAATCGTCAAACCATATACTTGGTACAAACGATGGGCACAGATTCGTACTGGTTGATGATAATGCGCCTCTACATCGATCTTAACAAGTCCATTTTGTTCTCCGAGAATAAAACATGATGGCCTGCTGATTCGATTTTAACACAATATGCGTGAGAAATGTTCGTGTCGAACTGTTGTCTGAACCATACGATCCCAAACGAAATTCCTGGCAATAAAATTCGTAAAATCGTTCCATTTAATCATTAAAAGTCAAAGTCAAAGTATCTTTATTCAATATAGGCTTTACTTAAGCTCTTATTAAATGTCAACAAAAAATCTACCACCGGTTCACTAAACTAGACCTGACAGAGAAGAACCGGCAAGAAACTCTGCGGTCTTGTTTTTTTTTTTGTTATTTTTTTTTAATGCAATTATACAAACTTATTTAGGTATAAAATCAGCAGCAGCCATGTTGCAAGTGCAGAGCAAGAGTCATTTCCACACATCCGCCGTGTCCTCAATGTATTCTTGGACATTATAGTAGGCTCTTACCATTAATTTAGCTTTTACAAATTGTTTAAAATTATTTATACTTAGTTGTTTGTGGATGTCACCTATTTTATTATAAAAGTTGATGCATCTACCAAGAAACGACTTTCTGGTGTTAGCCAATCTAAACCTCGGTACTTCCCGAGTGTCACCACGGCCCCGACGCGATGTGGATTGTTTTTTCGTAAATAGGTGGATATTATTACGTACATACATGATGTTAAAACGTTTATTTGCTTAAATATATGCCGTAGTGACTCACGTGGACCCAAGCCATAGACAATTCGTATAGCCTGCTTTTGTAATACAAATATTGTGTCTAAACCGGATGCGGAACCCCAAAGTAAGACACCATGGCACATTATGCTGTAAAAATAATTATTTTATTCATTTATTGAGATTTCCTTCTACCTATCACTAAAACTGGGTGGATAATAATTGATTCTAAGGCCAAATTAGCTAAGCCGTTAAGAGTTATTGCTAGAGTGTGGGAGAACTTCATACCGGGGGTGCCTCTGGCAATATAAAGCTCAAGTCCGCTCGTGTACGGCATACTGCTGTCACTTTTGAGTAAGTACGTTGGAGAGGCGTGCGAAGAGGGTCACGAATGATCCTCTTAGCTGATAAGAAAGCCTCGAGCTTAAGCGTAGGGTAGCGAAACTCTTGCTTTTCAACAGATTGCTTTTTGTAAAGTGCGCGTTGGAGCTGCATCAACTGATATCTTCGACCCGATTCCGTTAACTAGACGCTTGACATGGCTCCATACTTTTGATGTCGATATTGCACGCATTCGAGATTTGCGTCATCATTCATTTTGCATACAGCGAAAGAATGGAATAATCTGTTTTTCCGTCCGATTGTCGCGTGGGCGTCTGCGAGACTAGAATAGTAAGGCTTTTACCGACCTAGTGTGTTCAATCATGTAAGGCGGCGGACATTACCGGCCGTCGGAGCGGTACCAGACCGCTCCTTATAAAAATAAAAATATAAAAAGAAATATGTGTAATTAAAGGACGCGCATATGTTTGAGTTATAACATGAAACAAATACATAAATTCATTATGATTAATAAACTATTCCCCAATTATTTCTTCGTGAACACCATGACATAGAAATAATATAACCTATGTCTTGGCTGCCAACGTATTTTTTTTACAGGCCTCTCCCGAGGCAGTTGACCCACGTCTATTTGCATATGTTAATGACTGCGTGACGCAATTGCCATTTGCTGCAGCGCCAGGGTCGTGGGTTCCATTCTCACACGAGACAACTATTGGTGTGTCCCACGGGTGTTTGTCCACGTTAAATTTACGTATGTAAAACGTCCTTACAACACAGGATAATGGTAACATAGAGCAATTTTTTTTCAAGGAAAGACTACAATAGATCTTTTAGCTCGCAGTGGTCGTTGAATCGTTGGTAGAAGAAAAAAGAATTTGAAATATAAACTTAAATAAATAACAATTCTAATTAATTTTCTAATGTAGTTGTAAGTTAAAAAATTAGAAAAACTTTGTCCATTTATCTACAAATTTTTATAACAATTTAAATTAGGGACCTAGGCCAATAAAAAGTATAGACGGCCCGGCGTAAAAATTGCGGCGATTTATGTGAGGACTAGTCTCTGCTTTGGATGTGCAACTCTCTTTCAGGCGTAGGGCTCTCCCAAATGCGAGAGATATACTTGTTGAAAAGTTTTATTTTAAGGTATTATTGTTTTTTTTTTAATTTATCAACACTTTTACGACTGGATTTGAATCAAACTTTGCACACTTGTCAAAGACCCATGACAATACAATAGTTTAAATACTTTTGCCATTATCCTGAACTCAGGGCCTTCAAGATTAGCTATTTTCCAAATTCGATAGCTAGTAGTGTCCTTGTGCCAAGTACGCATTTAAAAAATTAATAATAATTAAGAATTAATACTATTATTATTTTATTAAAACTACGTCATATACTGTCACTCACTCGCGGCAGACTGCCGAGCGGCCATCTTCATAAGGCCGAATCGTGTTATTACGCGCCTCACATAAATGAGCGCAATGTTCTTGCTATACATATTATCATTCGTAACGTAAGCTTTATCAGTAAATTTTTTGTGCTAATGCAAGTCAACATCGTCCACATACTTCTGTTCGGCGCTCCCTGCAGGAGATTCAAATCGGGTCCAGCAAATCAACCCAATCAGCAAATAAACGAAAATCGTAACTTAACACAAGAAATTGAATTACTCTATTTCGTACTTTTAGGTTATTTATATATTATTTATCTTTTGTTATTAACTTCTTGACCTGTGTTAGATAGTCTAAATGCACATGATAAAAGATTCATTATTCTACAGCGTACTTTTCGTGGGACGCAGCGATTAAAGACTTAGTTTAAGAGACAAGATTCTGGTAAGCGAAACTACTATTTAATTATTTTTTTACTGTCATTTTATAACTAGACTAATATAAAGTTTTTATGATAATTTTTCTTATTAGTGGTAAATTAAAGTTGGTTGTTCGTCATTATTATGTTCGATTAAACCGCAATAAACTTAAAAAAATATATTCCACAGCTTCAGATACACAAAAATATACAGATATGACCGCTATGTGGGATTAAATAAGTAAACTGAAATAAAAGATGATAGATGGATAAATACTGATGACCAATCTTTATAGATTTTTTTAACATCCGTCATTACCATATTTATTAAATTTAGATCGCAACTTATTATTAATATATATATATAATATCATCAATCTTTGCAATTAATTAATTGTTTCATTAGTATTTGTTGTAACATTGGCCACAAGGTCATCATTTTGTAAAAGATTGGCTATCACAAATGGCAAATAACATGAAACAGGTTATGCTGACGCACTAGTACGATATACGACTTGTTATGTATTATTTATTTGTAGTTAGTTTAGAGCTTGAGGGCCTATTACAAACGCATAAGTGTCATAATGTGGGGATTGTATTTATTTTATTTGATTGTTTGATTGATCTTAGCGGTGTTTATTGATAAAAGGAAGATACGGAGAAATCAAAGAGTGACTTCCAATGACGTGGCTAGTGCAAGCAAGAGCGGAGGCGCGTAAAGAATGGAATCTGTGCTTTATTCGTGTTGCTGCTGTCGCCTTACTCATCGCCGCTTTTGCTGTGAGTATGTCGTCATTGTTTGGATTGCTTAAATCAATGAACTCTTCTTTTTTAGGTTTACGCTGCTTAATTGCGAGTTATCAAAGCAGAAAAGCGCTAATAAAATAAGGCACATGACATTTGTTACAAAAAAATTATGAAAAAAAAATATAAAGTATTGCCATAATATTTCATTTTATTAAATTAAAACTAATTCATGTATTTCGAATATTATAAATAAGCGAAGCTAAAATCAACAAAAATTAAAAAGGGTTTGCTGTTTGTTGTTATGTTGAAGAAAATATCTGTGTGAAAAAAAAAATATTACTGCTGGCCAGGGACATCCACAACACCTGAGGGTTCGCAATGTGTCGCCAATACTTAAAAAAGTTAGCTCCACTCAACAGACGAAACAATAAAGCCATTTATTACCAAAATAAAAATAAATAAAGTTCACGTAATAAAATAGTATGCCGAATTGAAAGAAATGACATATTATATATATTACAAGGAAAGGTCTTTCCCTTCTTAACTCGGTTGGGACTGGATTTATCGGCAGGAGTGCGTGCGCGGCGAAGAGGATGCAGACCTGGTGATCGAGATCCCTCCGTACGGCTCAGGCGCAGACACAATCAGCGGGCGTTACAGGCTCGCCTACTCGCCGCCGTATGGCTCTCCAGCGCCCAACTTCACCGTGCCCGCGAATGGCCCAAACATCTACTTTCAAGGGTTGCCCGGCACTAAGTACCACATCAGGCTCTACTATTCAAACACCACCTCCATCGATCTACTCACGTGGAACCAGACCATAACCACCGGTGAGGTTTTGGCCATATTCGATCAACGTACAGGCATTACCTACAGCCCCCAGGAACTTTGAACATTTTTTATTTCAAACTGAAATAAAAGCTTATATAAGCAAGAACGCTTTTGCATACTTCGAAAGCTCTTCTCTGAAAGTAAAACTACAGTCCTCCATATAAGATGCGCTGAAACATAACGCGCGCCTCGATCTTTTATGTATGGGTCGACTCGGGGAACTACGTTGGTCCACCACAGGTACCAGGAGAGGCATTACATACATGCAGCAAACCTCACGGCTCCCAGCGATAGATCTGATCTGTTGCACCTTAAAACGTTACCGCGATACCGACACTCCTCACCTCCTGCAATTCTGCCTCGGTTGCAGAGAAAAAGGAGAGTAGCTATGCCTCTACAACGCTCAACCCAACTATGCTAGGCCAGATTACAGCACTGCCCAATGTGGAATCCTCTTGTATTCGCCGTAGGCGACCAAGCCCCTTCTACCAAGCACGTCCGCCATGACTAAATGGGAACCGAGGGAACAGAGAGGGGAAACTTTGAGCCTAATTTTTGGTTGCAATGTTTGTATTAGCGCCGGAACCGCCAACGGACCTGAACGTAACGCAGGGTCGTAACAAGAAAACCATCATCACGTGGTCGGCTCCCGCCTACGGTGACAACACGGGCTTCCGGATCGAGGTAATTGCTTTATGACCTACATCACACCAAAAGCAAGATGTAACAAAAGCGGTGCCGCGAGAGTGGGGAGCGTGCCAATAAACCGGTGCGTTTGGCAGGTGATACCGCTGACGGATCCGCACGAGGAGAAGCGCAACATCACCGTGGAAGGGGGCAACGGTAGCTACGAGTTGCGAGACGTTTCGCCCGGCATCACCTACCAACTGAATGCCTTCACGTTGCTGCACGACAAGGAAAGCACCGCCTACGCTTCGCACAACTTCACCGTCCGTAAGTACGGCCAATCGAATTCCTATCAAACCTTGGACTACTTTTATATATCTATGTTTCGCCGGCATCGTTTGTAAATCACACAGATATTGAAAATTGTATCGTAAATGTAGAAATGTTTTATTATGAAACCGGTTCATGCCCAATCTGTTTTTTTTTCTTTTATGTCATGTGTGCCGTGACAGATAATTCCGGGCGCTTGCGTTTTATCCTATGTACTCGAACAACCCGACTTCAAATCCAATGAAATTGTTAAATTTAGCTAGCATATCACGTGCTCAGTGTTGCAAGGAAACCTGCGTATTTTCTGAATAACAAAAAAAATATTCCTAAGATATGTGAAGTCTGTCGATACGCAGTGAGGTCTCGTAGCGATGTGAGGACCCTGATACCCTCTGTATAGAGGAGGCCTTTTCCCAGCAGTGAGGCTTTTTTTGTTATTTGAATGGTGTTTCGTTTTTTAAATTACGCACATTAAATGGCGCCAAGTATTGGCTCAAAATAAAAGAAAATACGTAGATGTCGTGAAATTCAAGCCGTGTGATCATCAGTCGCTTAGCTTAGTTGGTAAAGCATCTGGACGCGTTCCCCAGAAGACGTAGGGTCGAATCCCGAAGCGCCATATATTTTTCGACAACTTTTCTACATCAAATTCCCGTTTTACCTCAACATCAGGTGAACCGCTAACTAACTTACCACCTTCTCTCGTAAAAAAAGTAGTTATTTCTAATGTCTTCCGGTGTTATTTTGCTCTTTTCTTTTTATTAGCTTATTTATTATATATTATGAATTTTTTGTTATAGCGACAACAGAAACACACCATCTCTGTAAATCTCAACTGTTTAACTATCAAGGTTCATGAGATACAGCCTAGTGACAGGCGGACAGACGGACAGCGACCCTAAAAATGATCTAACCGCAATATACGATGCGAGCCCCCCCAAAATCTAAGTGAGACAATTTCTCCACTAAAAGCGAATGGTGAACTTTGTCGAATACCTTGGAGAAAACCGTACATTTCGTGTCAACTTGTATACGCGAACTATTTTGAAGTAATTTATCTACTTGTTTTCGGATTTCTGCGGTATAGTGTTTGTTCTTTTTTCCGTTTTTAACTCCACCGGTGAATGAACCCTGTGGAACCAACTGCCGCCGGCGGACTTTCGAACTGGGAACTTTCAAGAAGAGAGCTTACACTTTCTTAAAAGGCCGGCAACGCATTTATGAGCCCTCGGGTGTTGCAGGTGTTGCAGATCCCTTACCATCAGGTGAGCCTCCTGCTCGTTTGACCATTTTCTCCATAAAAAAAAGTGTGTGCGTGTAACCCTTGAAGATTGAAACGATTGAAGTAAAACTTCTTTGGCGTTGACGGCATATATCACTGAAATGATTAAATATTTAGTAATGTCATAAGTATATGTCATATTTTAAAAATATGACATATACTTATGACGTTACTTCCGTCAGAAAAAATCTGAGTTACTCCCTAGTCGCGCCGAAAGAAGTTTTACTTCAAAAAGAACATACACTATTTCCTAGCAGTAAAATATTCTTCCGTAATAGTAACATATGACCTACTTTTTCTATTCTTTATGCTTTCCTTTTCTAATTTGGACTAAAGGCCATTTTCATGGCTTTATTATAACAATTCATCTATCATATATTATATATTCACCCATTATAGCATTTACTCGAATCTTACATATTTCTCTTTCATACTTAGTTACCTTATGCAAAAGTCACAGTCGCCCTATTTTTGAAAGTGGTTTCCATTACAGTGTACGAGAAAGTGCTCATACACGTATACTGCGTTTCAAATACGAATAGGAATATCAATGACCTCGAATGACCGCGATCTGCCAACTGTTAACTATATTACACATATCTCCCTTCCCGCAGGTTTTTACTGTTCTTTTTTCTTTATCCAATATAAGAGCATTCACAATGGAGCTTATACACCCTCCTTTTTTATGTGAAAAGTTGCCAAGCGAGCAGACACTTCACCTGATGTTAAGTGAATACCGCCGCCCATGGACATCTGCTACACCCGAGGGCTCGAGATGCGTTGACAACCTTTTGTAAATTGGGCTCCGGCCAGCTCACTCACCAAACGAAACGCGAAAGTATTATACATCCACTTTACGCCGGTCTTCTGTGAGGTCGTGGTACCCGGACGAGCCTGCCCATTCGTGCAACAACCGAGGCTGCTGCGTGGCCCTACCATCGTGAAACTCTCCTGAATTTTGTAGAGGGTTATTCCACTTGACAGATGATTAAAGCTAGCTAATCTTCATGAGTGGCTCGTAAAATGTTTTAATTTTATTAGGCATGTTTAATATCCAATCCTGTCGGTAATTCCCCTATCATATGGTGGAACAGTAAGAACTCACTTCACTTTGGCTGTCACCGTAACAAAGGCGCGATGTTCGAAGCCTTTTTTTTTGCAAAACCTCCTTGACATGTTCTTGCTCAGTGCTTCATTATAACTGATGGCTTGTGCCACTCTGCAACAGATTAGATTTACCCACGGTAGCTAACTAGGCTGGGTGATGGTGAGGGTCACTACTTAGATATCTGTTTTTTTTTTTGTCGTTTTCCTATGGTCTTTTTTTTGTTGTATTCCTGTACTGGGTACACGGCGTGGCTTAATGTATTATTTGACCCTCCGAGGCTACCTTGCTTATGATGTTTGCGGCACTATCGATAATATGCTTTTTTCCGCAGCATTAATTTCGCTTTAAAATAAAGTGATGGCGATAAAATATCCTACTTCTGAACAAAGGTCGCCTCTGTACACAGGAAATTAGGGCATAATACACTACGCATCCCCACTGCGGATTGGCAGGCATCTCATATCTTCAAAACATTTTTGTTATTATTAGGAAAATATGCAGGTTTCATCACGAGCAAATTAAAAGTTAAAATTGCGATTAACAATTCTCAGGTTCAATTGCTCCAGTGCATCGAATTGAAAGGGAGCGCCCGGACACTAAACTGTCATAGCTTCACGGCACAATTTCAATTGAAATTTGAAATTATTTAATATAAATAAAAAAACAAACTTAAAAGATCTAGTTCCAAAATTAGTAATAGTATAAATAAGTAATTAGAAATTGAAATATTTACGAGTATCCTATGTTCATTTTCTAAGAATGTGAATGTACGATTGCAATGCTCAAAGGTTAATTCATAACCTCTCCTGGCCTCAGGTCCTAACTCACCAAATAATATAATCTTTTGGTTCCGCAACGAGACCACCCTACTGGCCCTGTGGCAGCCGCCCTTCCCATCCGGTTTTTACACGCACTATAAGGTAGGTCCACCCACAAAGCGCTTGGGCGACTGGTTACAGACAAATTCTTGCATATACGTTTCCAAAACCTGCTTTTTCTAAATAAACTAAATTTTGCGTACAATCCATACCTTTGGGTAAGAATTTATAAATTCCTAAACTCCAATTCAAAATGTACAATCAATATGTTCTTATTGCGCAGCAATTGGATGAATCGGTACCTAACATAAAACAGGTAAAAAGGAACGTACAACATGCAGGTTCGCATATCGCTCCGAAACCCATTTCGAGGACCTGTGTAAATAAATGTGCAGGAAGACGTCGTGCCACTCAAATTCAAATTCAATTCAAAATATCTTTATTCACATAGACTCTTGCGCGTTCTTATGAAACGTCGAAATTTAATATAAAAATTAATAGGTTCGTAAGTGTTTTTTTAATGTTACCAGTCGGTGGGGGAGGCCTGGGTGATGTTCAACTTTGGACTCGATTAACCTGATGTCATGATGATCTGAACTATTGTTATCAGAATTATTACACAGCGAAGTGCATTTGAATAAATCACCAAATCGAAACCAAATTATATTGATGCAATGAAATGCTTTATGAACACCTCAAGCCTCAAGACTCGATCTTAAAGATTACTCTTAAGAATATTTATTAATAACTATATTAATTAATTAATTTTTATTAATTAATATTTATTAATAACTTCTATATCGCAGTACAGATTAAAGGAACATTTTTTGTTTATGTTAGCAATTACAATTCGAAATTTTTTTTTATTGTTTTAGTGAATTATCAGTGTGTAAAGAAACTATGTCCAAGTAATTTTGATTTGTTCTCGGCATTTACTTTACGACGCTACAGGTATCGATAGAGCCGCCCGACGCCAGCGACTCTGTGCTCTCTGTGAAAAAGGAGGGAGAACCGCCCGGACCAGCGCAGGCCGTCTTCAAGGTAACCCACGCGAACGACGGTTATTTCTAACCCTATTTGTATTTGCAGCCACTTCTCACCCCTCTTGAGTGCAGGGACTGTACCCTGGACGCACCTATAACGTGGCCGTGCAAACTGTTTCGGAGGCGGAGACGTCGGCGCCGGTCACGGCGCAAACGCGCACTGTGCCGCTGCGGCCGTGCAACGTCTCCATCGACCCTCATGAGCTGCGTGAGACATCGTTCCGAGTATACTGGGAGCCACCCACGGACCCTAGGTGCGCACATGATGTCACTCTTTTAATTTAATTTAAGTTAAGTAGTTAGTTAATTTATTAAGTATAATTATAAGTCTCATCCCTTTATTGGCAGCGAATTCGAGAAGTACCAAGTGTCAGTGGCGCTAGCGGACAACGGTGACGGCGATGGAAACGAAGGGCGGCGTCTGTCGTCTACAGTGCGGGCCCGAGAAAAGCCCACCACCGCCGATTTCGATGGCCTGGAACCCGGTGGGCACTACACTGTCACCGTGAAGACCATATCTGGAAAGGTCACCTCCTGGCCCGCCGCTGCGGACTTCACGCTGAGTTAGTACTATTATAATTCATCTCCAAACCATTCCATAATTATGTCAATGTACAATTACCTCACGTCAGAAGCGTGGATTCAGTTTATCCCTAAAATTTTGTGACAACTCCGTTTCGCATAATTCTAACGGATTTAGACACAAATCCATTTGATAATTAGACAACGTTATAAAAAATCCCTGTTAGTAAGAAGGACTTCAAATGTAATCCCTCCGATGTTACAGTTTCATTATTTATTTGTTAACTTACATCATTCGTGAACATGCAATTTGAACAGGTAATTTTTAATAATTAGATCATATGTAATGAGCACCTAATTATGAACATATTTAAATAAATATAATTTAGATAGATAACTACATTTGACTACTTCATGATATAAGATATGAAAAAGTTCGAACGATCATTATGTACGTATTATATGAGTAAACAATCAAAAATATTAAGATATAAATTCAATACAAAAATTCTTGTCAAGGAATAAAACGCCAATTAGAATTGTTCCCAGCATCAAATATAAAATATGTATCGAATATCTTGATGATATTTTCCATTGCTTTCAAAAGATTCATTTACAATAGAAGTCCGTCGTTAATGAGACGTTAACAAATGTCTTATTACGTATTTATCTAGAAATCATCACACGTGTGACTCAGCTCTGCGAAACCTACATATTTTCGGAATAATAAAGAAAAATATTTTGAAGATATAAATAAAGTCCCTTGTGGTATACTAGGCTCTAATATACTCGGCTTATGCTCATTAGTGGGACATATTAATAAAGACTATTACTTTTACCTACGAGTTTAAACTCTTTACAGACATTAAAACATGTAGAAAAAGTACAAAAAGATTGTAGAAAGTTTTCTACATCTCTCGTTCGAATTATAGTTCTTAAAACGATTAAAATATGTAGAAAAAGTGTTTAAAACGATATTCGAAATTTTTTGTATGCTGGAAAGGATATAAAAATAGATGCGCCAAGCATTGCTTCAAATGCTAAATAACAATGTAGAAAGAAGACGTTAAGATTTTCGTCGATGTGGCTATCAGCCGTTTAGCTCAGTGGCTAGAGCGTCAGGCCGCGAATACCGTACTTCTTTTCGTACTTTTTCTACATGTTTTAATGTTTAATCTTTAGTGCAGAGATTAGCACTATAAAAAACTTTAAAATCTTTACAGTCAGTTGAAGTATACTTAAAAGCATTCCCAATGTATAATTCTCATTAAAGTTATCCAAGAAAAAAAAACAATTTTTTCTACATGTTTTAATGTTTTAATAAAAAAAACAATATTTAAGAAACTATGACAAAGTCTAATGAACACCGAGAGATGTTTTCAGTTACATATGATCGCTATTGAGGCTTGACCCAACTTTTTGATTTGGAGCATTGTTATAATTGGGAATTGAATTTTCCCCACGTTGCAGAGCCGCTGGCGGTGCAACAGCTGCAGTGGCGTGAAGCAGACGTGGGTAACGCCGTGTTAGTGCAGTGGCAGCCGGCCGTCGGCAGTACGCAGGACGAGTACAAGGTGCGTCCCGGGCCGAAACATTTTGTGCGTCTCCGCAACACTTTTCCATTTTTTTTTAAAACATTGCCCTCACTTTAGGATAACATTATCCTGTGTTGTAAGGACGTTTTACAAACATAAATTGCACGAGGACAAACACCCAGATGCGAAACAACTATCTGTGGGTCGCACAAATAGTTGTCCCGTGTGGGAATCGAACCCACGACCCCCGACGCCGAAGCCAATACCTTGGCAACGGCGCCACGGAGTCATCATTCATTTCTCACTGGTCATGCCCCACTATCGCAGGTTTCATACCAGGAGTCGGGCGCGTCTAAAGACGACATCAGTACGCTCACCACGCCTCATACCAATGTGAAGCTAGAGGGCCTGCTGCCCGGCCGCAACTACACCATCTCAGTGAGTGCAGCGCTAGCAGTCGGTCACACGGTCACACGATGTGTTGCATGATACGAGTACAAAGCTTGTGCCGTGTGTGGTGCAGGTGAGCGCGGTGGCGCGCGGCGAGGAGTCCGAGCAGTCGTCGGTGTGGGCGTCGCGGCGGCCGCTGGCGCCGCCCCAGTGAGCAGCGCCCGGCACACGCATTACACTATAAGGAGCCTTGTTTTTATCATATTGTTGCTGATTTCTGCATTTTAAATGCTAAATAACACAAAACTAAAACTTGAAAAACATGTAAAATTCAATATCTGCTTCTGTATCTTATTTTATAATATGGGAAGGAATAAATTAATAGTATTACTATTATTAATTGGACAACAAAAATTATAATAGATAAAAATTTATTCTTAGCTAGGTTTTAGAAAGTAAAAAGCAAATCTTGGCAGATATACTTCTTGTTGATGCAAAAATTTATAACCAAACAACCTGGATAATAAGCGAGAAGGTAGCTTAGTTTCCTGCTTATTAATTCTGTATAACTCGAAACCTATTGAATTGTGCTGGTCACCACGTACTCCGTACTGGGCCACCGAGGAAAATGTTTACATCTTATAAATACAAAAATACTAGATGGCGGGCGGGGTAAGGGCAGCGCCAAACTTTATTAATTGTAAGTTGTTAACCTAAGATTAAATGAAGCTAAAATGAGATGGTATTAATGTGAAATTCCACGAAACATTAAAACATATTTGGTTACAACCTAGAACTTATTATTTCTCTCTCCCGTAAAATTAAATTTAGATTCAATAAAAAAGTGTGCTCTAATGCCACCAACGAAACTATTTTTCACACACGCACATGATAATTAACCTGTGAAAAACTGGATGTGTGCATGAACACTGAGTTACCTGGATTGGCAAAAAAACAAGATTTAGAATCATAGAAAATAACTTGTAAGGTTTCAACCATGTTTACCACTACAGTTTTATTCTTAAACTCAGAACTTTAGAAACCTGAGACAGTATTTAAAAACGCGCAAAATTGGAGAACCGTATGTATACAATCTGCTAATTGAGCTCTATATTAGGTATTGCTTCGGGTTGCACAGCTATTACACAGCTGTAAGATACAGTGCTGGATTAAGCAAGTACGTGGCCCGTAGCAAGTTCTTGATCTGCTATGGATTCTTAAGTATACAGTGTTAAAAAAAAACAATCCAATACCCTTACTTATTTAATAAGTTTGCGATCGGAAAAACTGGCGGACGATGCGGGCGGTGCCTTCTGCATTTGAGTTTGAAGCGATCCACCATGTAGCCTCAATCGCCTCAGATGTCCAAAGAGGCTAATTCGGATTAAACCATTACAACAAACATGTCGGTAACCTCGTGTAACAGGTCCAGATATTTTGTCTTCTGATGTTTTGGCTTTCATGGGGTCTCTTGATATGGAATAGGAATGTCCAAAAATTCCCGCGACTGTGCCTGCTTGAAATATAAACGTATAAACGTAATAAACGGTCGGAATTAAAACTAAAAATAAACGCCATAAATCCGTAAACATAGTTACATTTAATAATGTGTAATCGTGTAAATACAAGAGAAAAGCCTCGCCCGCGACGCTTCCGTGGAAAGTATAGCCTCAACACTGACACCTCCGATGGTATATCCTGTCGTAGAAGGGCGGACTTTACGGTCCAGTGCGTTAGTGTCGGATTGACTCCACCTGATAATGACAAAGAGCGAGGAATGGCATGACAAAACCGTTATACGCACGCGCTCTCTTCATGCCCAACAAATAATTGTTAAGCACTTTTGCCGGGCGTGCAAAAAACACATCATAAACTGAATTTTTCATGCGAGCTTCATCGATACACAAGTTTTGATGAAGCTGCCATAAAAAAGTAAGTTTATATATAAGATGAATAAAAAAATATTTAATATCGAGTATTGTCTGGTAAGTCCTGGCAGAAAAATGGGTTATAAATAAACGAAACATTTAATTTTATATATAACGAAACATTTACATTTATATCATGAGTTACTTTTATTTTAGGTGATAGGGAATACAAGCTTTGAATTAACTGCACAAGCCATGAAAAAGTTAGTGATATCTACTGCGTATAATTATAATTTTAAATCTATTTAAAGAGTATGTATGAGTGTTTGTAAATGTGCATAGTTTAAAAACCTATTTTGTTAATTTTTTGGTTTCTTACTTGAATAACAATGGTTAATCACTTCATATTCTTTACTATAAGACTAATATCTACAAAGTAAAATGAATATATTAATACAATAATACAATTCTTTTCATTCATGCACAAATTAAATCAAATCAGGTAATAAGAAACATTCACATGAAATATCAATAAAAATAATACAACCAATTATTTTCAGTTTCCTTTTTGCTTTATTTTAAGTACCTAACTTGTAACTCAATTTTCCGTTCGTAATCGTAATAACATTATTACTTTAGTACACACAATTGAAAATATAACGCTAGGTGATGACTGGGCATTATCGACTTATTGATTCCATCCTAATAATTATTTTTTGCATTGTTAAAATAGCTTGGGTGTTTTTACGTAAAAACATTCCAATTTCACTATAATTTATTGATTTTATCATTAAATGAATAATTCTAACCTCAAAAGTTTTTATGCATTATTATATCTAAATATCGTGGTTATTTAGACATAACTTTCAAATGGGAATAGAATATACTAATTATTCTATTTTTTTTATTTTATATCGTACATTAATAATAAAATAACACCATTTACACGAAAGTTGAAAATGACGATTGGCTGCACGGTTTTGGTGTTTTGACAATTCAATAATAGTTAAATAAACAACTATGATCTCATAATGTCATCACCAGGGTAGGATGTAGTAATTTAACTATTATAGTATCTGTTAGGCATGAGATATACCTGCAACATTCTATACCCGGCCTCAAAGGTACGGGTATCGCCGTATACCCGGTGCTAAAACCCAGTATCAAAATACCTATAGGTATTAGTTATGTCAGGCCTCCTTTTGGAGACGCGGTCGAATCAAACGAACTGAACCTTTGGTTGGAATTGGAACATTTAAATGTTTTTTTAGCAATCCGTTTTTTTAAATTGAGATTTAATCAGTCTAAAATAAGCTCCATCTTTACTAACGTAAAGAACCCTATTATCAAAAAAAGTTTTTCAATTTTTTTATTAATTAATTAATAATCAATTAATCAATTTAATTAATTAAATTATTTATTTAACTTATGGTCATACAAAGAATAAATTTATCTCAAGGAATTATTTGGTATAAAATGCCTAAATCTTACGTTTCAATTCGGGCATGATCGGGAAGAGCCGCCGTAAGCGTTCGGGGAACTTCGTACCTATTCGGCCGGCGGGTTGTCGCGAGCGTATATACCGCCACCGTCGGACGAGGCGGGCATAGCCATACCTATCGGTGCGGGTATGGAACGGGCCTCTGCCGTACATACGTCATACCCGGTGTGCGGGCGGGTTGTCGCGAACGTATATACCGCTACCGTCGGACGAGGCGGCCATACGGCCTCTGCCGTACATACCCGGTGTGCGTACTGGTATGTGCATACCTGTTCCAGTTTATACGCCTCATTCCCTAGTATCTGTACTTTTACGATTACGGAGCTGACGTCTTAAATGTCGATACCAGTTTGAAATTACGTATATGATGTTATTTTAAATTATTAGTATAGGGTTAGAGATATATTTGTATGCCCTATTGTGACGAGGAGATAAGATAAATACTACGCTACTATTATATATTATTTATTATTAACGCTACAAGAAATTCACATGACAGTATGCGTTCGCTAGCTACTTGCGATGAACTGTACTGCGCTGCACAATGTAAGGCGCATGGGGCGTTCGACTAATATATCATATTACATTGTGTCGCCACAATTAGTGTAGTTTAAAAGAAGCTTCGAATTCCAGAACTTTATTTGAACAACGAATGAAATTCCGAGCAATACAAGGAGCTCGGAACGCGCTATATGGCAATTTAGTGGAGGAACTCGAGGAAGAAAGAACAGAAAGAAAAAGTGAATAAGTGAAGTAAATAGTGAGTGAACAGTGACTAGTAGTCTAAAAGCGTACGCGATGGGTTGGTGCAGTAACATGTGGATCGATGCACCAGTCGCGGCGTACCGGCAATCGTGTCACTTAAGCTTGGTGCGGAATGGGAGAGACGTCGCACCGGTAGTAGTAGTATTGGCTTAAACGTTATTGAGAGAGGAGAAGGAATATTTAAATGACCGGCGTATCACTCCAATCGCGAACCGCTAGCTCGTAACAGTACTAAAATTTCATGCTTCGTACTGTATACAATAAATTAAATATGGATAATATTTAAGGATAGTACGAAAATATACTATAATTTCGTTAATTGACATAAATGAAACTATAAATTCCAATCCAACATTAAAAAATGGGTTGTATTAACATTGTAATGTTTTTAACGACAAACAGAGGATATTACCACATGTCATTGTCAATTATTTATCTATCACCTATTTATGGGGTCTTCCCGTTAATTTTTTTTCTATACTTAGATTGTTGAAGAGTAACTTTGCATATTACACTATGAGGAGATCATAGATGTCTAATACTACGACTAATTTATTATTTTCTAAATTAAGCTATGAAATACACATAATCCATGGACGCCATTTTATTGAGTTGTGAGGCTATCAAAGATGGTGAAAAAAGTTGAAATTGTACTGATTTTATTCCTACTGAGGATAAATTAATTCTTAGGATGAAACTAATATTGAAGAATCGATGAACTTGGAAGAGGAGTAAATTAATTCCTGTTAAAATCAAAATTATAAAATGAACTATAATTTTTTTTACAAATACTATATTTTTCATCACACCTAAATCCAACCCTGGTCATCACTCAGTCATATTGCATCAGTCATTGTCTTATTTGACATTTGTCATTTTGCTTTGCATAGATCATACGACATACGTACATTTTAAATTAAACGTTAGGAATTAATATTGTTAAATGTTTTTTTGTTGGAAAAAAGGACCTAATCTAGTGCATTATTATAGCTGTATTAGTAACTAGCTAGCAGGTCATAACGCAAACCACAGACAGGCACTGTATTAACTATTTCTGCAAAAAAGTGGAAGAAATCAAACTTTGTTAATTAGTCTTAAAGGTAAACATCGGGGCATAAACAAAAATGGTTCATATTAATATTTTTCCTATTTACAACCAACTACAAGGGTAAAAATAAATAAACTTATGAAAGTATTACAGTATTAAAATTAAATTATATAAGAAATAAAAATATAAAATGCATTTCAATTCACTACATCCTTAACAACTTCAAAACAAAACTTTCTAATTGGATTGGATTTTGTACAGCAAAGATGAAAACTGCAGTAACAGTCTTACAAGAAATGATGATAAAGCAGGGAAAAATACCTGAATATGATTGCATTTCACAGGTGAGATAAAATTAAGTGCAGAATCATAGTATGTTACTTACTTATTAATTTTACAAGCAACACATGCCAAGTCTTACTTCTCATGTGTTATTCTCTTTTGTTGGTATGCCATATCTCCATTAGTACTTTATCACAATAATTGATGATTGAGAATTCATTTTGACAACTGTGGTCCCTGCTTATGATGAAGAACAGGCTAGTCACTTATACATTAAGCTATGATGTTGTAATTTTTATTGTAGGTTCCTACTTATATATGAAAGTGATTTAACCAATTTCAACTGTCAGAAATTAATTGTTTGGATCTCCCAAAATTAATTGTAGAATTATTGATTATATTACAATGAAAAAGGTGACATTCGCACTTGGTTCAAATGCTGTAATTTAAAAGTAAATGGCCTTACAACAAACTTGAATTCAGAACTGTCTTTGTCAACCCCGACACACCAAGGCCTTGGTCTGTCCTATCCCTAGTATTTTTTAAAGCCCAGAAGCACGGAGGGAGGGCAGCCCCAACCTTTCGTGACAAAGCCGCCGGCATCATGCACCCCATAGTGACTGAGTTTGGTCAACAAGGTAGAGGTGTGGCCTGACCGCCTGTGACTTTGTAATGCAAAGGAGAAGGGGCTGCTATCTTGCAGCACCCGAGATAAGGCAGAAGTACTGATTCTTACACCCCTACTTTTTGTTCACTGAAAAATAGGGATAGAAAAGTAAGGTCACAATTTATAAAAAAAATTGTGACTCCAACCAAAACTATTGGCCCATATACCTCATATATTTCCCCCCTTAAACCCTCTAAAAAGGAAATATGTATAAAATTACCAATTTAAAAGCTTTTGTTAGTATAACCCAATAAGAAATATTTCCCTTTTAAAAAAATCAATAATAAAGCTATGCATTTTCTACGAATTTAACACCCACCCTTGGGGGGGTTTCCATGCCGCCTCCCTCCCCCTGCCAACACCCTACTTACATATATAAGTGACCTTCTGAAGAATAAGCAAGTACTGTAAAATGATGTTTTTGTTTTGAATTTATTATAAATATTGATTCATACATTCAGAGTCTTTTTCATTGGTTGCCACGGCGCCGCATTACAAGCCTCCCGTCTAACATTATGTTTTGTCAAATAAATAAATAATCAGCTGTCAATCACTTTTCAAATGCTATTTATTTGTATATGTATTTGCAAAATTTGTATATGTACTCAGTAATATAGCAAAAACGGTGTCTATAGATGCAGCCTTATTAGCATATCACAGATACGTAACTTCCATAATCAAGTATGGTATAATCATATGGGGAAATTCTGTCTACTCTATTCATGTTTTTCGTGCCCAAAAAAAATGCATCAGAGCTATATGTGGAGCGAACCGCCTAGATAGTTGTAAACCATTATTTAAAAAATATAATACACTTCCATTTCCATGCCAATATATATTTGACATGTGCATGTTTGTATTTAAAAACTCTCAAATGTGTATTAACAAAAAAAGTGAAATAGCCACTAAAAGTTCTAGACGTCCAAATAAACTCTGCATACCAAAACAGCAGATAAAGGTCTGTAGTAGTAATGCATGTTGTATGGCAATTTCAATATTTAATAGACTTCCAAAGCACATTATAGATCTAACAGGGAAAAATTTCAAAAAGGAATTATATACTTGGCATATTTTAAAAATGTATTAAAATATAAATGATTACATAAATGAAAACAAAAAATAATATGTTTTATAAAAAAATTATTTTGGTATTGTAGTACTATGTCTAAAACGAGCTTTTGTCTATATAATTGTAATAGTTAATTGTAACATTAGGTACTAGTTATAAGATTTGCACGCTCTTAAGCAGAATATGTGATACTCTAACTATATGAACATCTTATTGTAAACCATATCCTTGCAAATAAAGAATTTTTATTATTTATTATTGCCAAGAGGATGGTTAAACTTCTACGATGATCAGTATTTCAGAAACCGAGCATTAGATGAGAATATAATAATGGCTAAAATGACCATGGTCATAAAAGTAGAGTACATTTATTTTCAGTTAAGTGTTTTATATTTAACTTTTACTATGAGTATCATTTTGTTTTTTATAATAATTTATAATTTTGGAACTTCCAGTCAGGACCACAACACCAGGCAATGTTTGAATACAGGTGCACAGCGTGTGGGGTTTCAGTCACAGCTATGGCTCGATCGAAAAAGGAGGCAAAGCAAGAAGCAGCTCGCATCATGCTACTACAATTGGATGAGCGTGGATATGCTGTTCCACCGCCCTTCTGTCGCGGTGGCGCCCCCGTCCATGCCTTGGTACATGTTTGTTAGAACCACAAGTTGAGTAGAGTTTTGGTCGGCGTAGTGCTAGATACGTGTCCCTGAACAGGGCGCGTCACAGTGTAGCAGCAGCCCTCAGGCGGCGCCGCCCTCGGTGGGGCCGCTGTCGTCGCGCAGCTACGTGGCGCTGCTGAACGAGCTCTGCGAGGAGTACCGGCTGCCGGCCGTGGAGTACGAGCTGACGGCGGACACGGGCCCGCCGCACGCGCGCCACTTCACCTTCCACGCGCGCCTCGGCATGCACCAGCGCCACGCCACCTCTACTACCAAAAAGTTCGCGCGCCAGCTTGCCGCCGAGCAGCTCTACACCTATCTCAAGGAGAATCTCTCCAGAGTCACGAAAGATTTCGTCGAGGTAATACTTACTACGTCTGTTATAGTTTGCACGTATTTTTTAATGTTTTCGCGTAAACATATTTCTGCCTCCTGTGACGAGTAGAAGGAGGGGAACAGTGGAATTGTGTAATCATAAATAAAGATAGCTACTAGATAAAATGCTCTCGTTGTCTCTATACACACGTGGCGTAGGACGACGCGCTGGCTCGTGCGCACGAGAAGGCCATGGAGCGCTACGTGGAGACGCGCGAGGAGCTGGGCTGGCGGCCGCACCTTGGCCAGAAGATCGCCGACTACCACTTAGGTCTGTTGACCCACATCGGTAAGTCTCCCTCAGTCGCCTCCCATTTTGCATTGGCATTTGGGTGCCGAGTGAGAGGTGCCTTTACACCATAACATATTCACTATCTCGCTCATTGACTATTATATTTGCAATTAAACTCTTGTGCATCAATTATCCATCTTCTGTACCCTAATTTTACTACATAAATATATTAAAAAAAAAACATTTATAACTTTATTATTTATGTTGTTTACGAATGATATGATGAGGACAATGCTTTGATGATTTTGTTTGAGTTTAATTTTGCAACATTAACAAAATAAATAGTTTATCCTTGGTGCCCAGCTTTGTGTGTTTCTAATATGCTATGTTTGTTGCATAAAATTGTTGTCCTTCCCATGACTACTAATTTTTTTTTTTTTTGGTTCACCAATTATAACATTTAAAATGGTGATCAATGTAAAAACATATTTTGGTGGTAAATATGGAATGGATAATAATGCAAAGTCCCCCTAATTGCCAATATGAAGTTGAGTTGCCATCCATGCTATAAAATAGATGGACAGAAGCAGTTGAGAGCAAGGGGGCGGCACTTGCAGTCAGTCTGGACATACCACAAAGCACTTCTTTCGAAGCTGCCTTCCTATGGGCTTCCCGAGAAGTTATGCAACTGGATCACCAGCTTTTTGGCAGATCGGAGCATCAAGGTCGTCGTCGATAGTTCATGCTCTGATCCTAAATATGTCAATGATGGTGTTCCACAAGGCTGCGTACTGTCCCCCACTCTGTTTCTTCTGCATATGAATGACATGTTGCAAATCACAAACGTTCATTGCTATGCAGATGATAGCACTATGAATGTCTCGTACACTGGCCGCGTTAAAATTTCTCGGGAAAACTTCTAGGAGAGCCGGAACAAGATTGTGTCAGAAGTCGAGATTTTGTTAACTAAAGTCTCAGACTGCGGTCGAATAAATTTAGTCCAATTCAACCCCAATAAGACACAAGTTTGCGCGTTAACCGCTAAAAAGTCCCCATTTGTCATAGCCCAACGTAGGGCAGCTAGGGTTATCTACCGCAACTATTGCGGGGAGTGTTCCCAGGAATTGTTTGGATTGATTCCGGTGGCTGACTTTCATGATCGGACATCGCACCAAAACCAAAAATTTCATCCACACCACCTCGATGTCCAGCGTTCCACAACAGCGCGATTCTAAAGGCATTTCCTGCCTCGCACAACAACACTGTGTGGAACCAACTGCCGCCGGCGGTTTTTCCGAACCGTTACGACGTGGGAACCTTCAAGAAGAGAGGATCCTCTTTCCTAAAAAGCCGGCAACGCATTTGTAAGCCCTCTGGTGTTTTCGCATTTTTCCCGTAAAAAAATGCTACTACACCTACGAAGGCAGATGTAGTACGTTAGAGAGGGCGGTGTGTCGCGCAGACAAGGCGAAGCGGCAGCTGGCGCTGGAGGCGCTGGAGGCGAGCCGCGAGTGGGCGCCGGAGCGCGCGCTCGAGGCGGTGGTGGGCGCGCTGGGCATGAGCGTGGAGCGCCACCGGCTGGCGAGCGAGGAGGGCGAGGGGCTCACGGTGCTAGCGCTGGTGCCGTCGGCGCCCGCGCTGGCGATGGCCGCGCCCTCGCCGCCCGCCGCCGCCGCCGCCGCGCTGCGCTACCTGCGCCGCGCCCTGGCCGCCTAGCTTTAGTGCTCTCCAAACAAACCATCCATTCATGTTCTCAATAAACACTTTTTCAATAGCTCTCCTAAACTTTCTTATTCCTAATCGAATTAATATAAATCTTTATATTAAACTTGTAGCGAATGTTAGGCAAAAATATGCGGCTGTTTTTCTTTTGTTTGAATGCAATTACCATTTCTTTCAATTTGCGTTACATATTACGATAAATATATTTATATTTAGCACTAGCTGTGCCCCGCGACTTCGTCCGAGTGCAATTTAAAATAAATAAAATTTCTAAAATAAAAGTAGCCCAAGTTACCCCTTATGACATCAGCTATCTGCTAGTGAAAGTCCCGTAAAAATCGGTTAAGTCGTGTTTCAGAGATTAGCCGGAACAAACAGACAGACAGCCAAACAAAAATTGTAAAAAATGTTATTTTGGTATAAGTACCGTGTACACATCCATGAGTATTTAGGAAAAGGGGTTATTTTAATATTACAAAAAGACTCCAATTTTATTTATCTGTATAGATATACTAGACCAGGGCCGATAATTTTTAAAACCAAAAAAAAAAAATAGTAGGATGCAACCCATTAGAAAAGTAGGGGAATATTATAAAAATGAAAGGAAAAATAATTTACGGGCGATCTGAGGTCGGGAAGGGGATGGGGGTGAGTTTTTAAGGGTAAAAAACGGTTTTTCTCGATTTTCGGCAAAACTAAAAGTCCTATCGAAAAAAGTCAAATCGCAAAGTTGTAGGTAATAAAAATATCTAAAACTTTTGTATTTACACTTTTTTTTTTTTTCAAGAAATTTATCGCTGAGTGGCTTACGCCGCATGAATTTTGAGCATGAAAGTCAGTTCCTTATTTTCAATGTTCAATGGGTATTGGACAATTTAAAACTAGTGATATGACTAAGGATTGCAGATCATAGAATAGTACTAACACAATATAATATATATGTAGTACCACTGTTCGTCCAAGATTAAAACTACATCGTTTTAGAAATTCTACATCTTTCTACTAAAACACCGTAAAGAAATTATTTCTACGGAATATACAATAAAATATCCTTAGTAAAATAATCTATTTTATCAGTAAACAATAGTAGTTCACTTAGCATATCAATGTAAATTAATCATTTTTTATGTAACATCGCAGTTTTTAAGTAAATCATCAGAATATAAAAGGGATAAACTGCAACACGAATAATTATAACCGACCTAAGGAAGTTCACGAGGTCAGTCTGAAATTTCGATCTCGGAGGAGTCACGGCGCCGGCGCAGCGTGCGCTCGGCGGCCAGGTTCTGCAGCAGCTCGTTGGACTTGCGCGCGGCGAGGCGGCGCGGCGTGCGGCGCTCGGGCGCGGGCTGCGGCGGCGAGGGCGACGAGACGGGCGAGGCCGCGCCCGGCGCGCGTGCGCGCCCGGCCGCGCCCGCGGCCCGCGCGCGCCCCGCGCCCCCGCCCGCGCCCCCGCCCCGCGCGCCCCGCCCGCGCCCGCGCCCCGCCTCCGCCTCCGGCTCCGACTCCTCGCTCTCCGCCACCGTCGCCTTACACCTGCTGGCGGCCGCCTTCTCGATTAAACCTCTCAGCTCCTGCTCATCAGTCGCGTCCAGGCTCTGCTTGCACAGCCTTATACGCTCTCGCACTTCCTCTGCCGTCTCGGCCGTCGATTCGAGTAAGAAATCGACGCAACGTCGTCTGTGGCCCTCTAGCACACGACGAAACACACCGTCGTCGCGCTTAAGTGTGAAATCCCGCACTGCCTCTGTAATGGCGCGTACTGATAAGATTGCCAGTCGCCTCTCAGGCGGCACGGTGGCATAGTAGGAGCGTAACAGGGATTCGACATCGCTCGCTTCGACGGCCGCACGCCCCATGTCTACCTCTTCTAAATCCGCCTTCTCTCTACGTTCTCTCATTTTTTTCTCTCTTTTCATAATAAGGATATCATTTGGATTGGCAACTAAACCATTAAAATTTTGACCAAATCTTATGCGATTAAAATCTTGACCATCATACTCATAGAATACTGAAAGTCTTATAAGAGGTAGTAATGGCTGTTTTGGATGACCACTACGTATCTTATTGGCTTCCTCTATTGCCTCTTCAACTTTTTCTTTTAAAAAGTTTTGGACTCTTTCATTTTCTTTAACATTTTTGTCACCCAAATTTTCTTCAGAAAGTACAATTGTTTTAAAAATAAATGGTCTAACTGTTTTCAGTGGTAAAGGTGTCACTATATATTCTTTTTTGTGTAATTGAAGCAAAACACAATGTTTTGGTAGAGCTTCTCCTGCAGCCAGTGAAGTTGCAACAGTGCTGCCTGGTTGCACCACACAAAAGCTTTCATTTTCTCTTTTTATATCCTTAAACCCAAAGACTTGACTATCATGTTCATGGCCCCAAATGACCAAGTCTAAAAACTTTGGCAAAACACTCTCTGGGATATAATTGCCATGACCTCTATCAGCTCTGTTTTGATGTAGCACTAAAATATTGAACCAATCATTGTTATCTTCTAAAAGGTCCATTTCAACTTTCTTTTCAGCAAACAAACGAGAAAGGCGTTGATCCTTTAAATGACTTAAACCATACAGTGATAATTTAGTTTCTCCTTTTTGCATGAGTACAGGAGACACCTGAACATGAGTATAGTCACTCCATTTACCAAAATAATTAACAAGTCCTGTAATTGAAAGTATATCAAGAGAGCTAATACTACCTTGCCCCACAGGGTCGTCGTGATTGCCATGGATAGATAATATGGGATATGAAACATTTAAATTCGGGTCTTCATAGTTAACAACTCGAGAAAAGTTTTGTAGTTGATCTGACAGCAACTCTACGCTAATAGGTTTGTTCCCGAAGCAATATTTTCGGATAATTTGTGTACATTTGAACATGCAATTGGGCGACGGTTTTGCGTGATCAAATAAATCTCCACCAAGTAGTATTAAATCAACATCATACTGTACAGCTAAAGACAGTACTTCTTCGAACGCAATAAAACTGTCCTCGCCGCGGACAGCATCGTTTTCTAAGTAGCCTAAATGAATGTCTGAAGCTATTAAAATCCTTAAAGTGTCTTCAGGACACCAAAGTTCTGTTTCACTTTGCACCATTTTGATAAAAAATCTAAATATATATATATATATATCCTAATAACAAATAATGCCGCCAATAATAAGCATTTGACAAAACGCGTGTAGCTGTTTGTTTGCAATCGCACTAGGGATGTCGAAAAAATATCGATATTTGAGCCGATATTTCGATTTAAAAATTTAATACTGAAATCGTTTCAAAAAGGATATTTTTATTCAAATGAAATTTGGCTGAATATGGTTATATTTTCTTGTTATTTATTCAAAGCCATAAAAGATAAAAATAAACAGGAAAACACTGTTGTCTATGACTAGTAATGTCGCGGATGCAATGTTGGATTTTGTGCTATAGCTATGCTAAGTATACTAATTTCATGCTTCGTACTTTAAACTTTTCTTATCTAAGGTACAACATGGAATAGAGGTATTACAAATCATTAATATTGAACAACATGTTAATCTAATTTATAAATAGCATAAAAAGTACAGTAACATCATAAAAATGTCCCACTGCAGGACAAAGGTCTCTTCTCAAATACGACCCACGCGACCCTACTGAAGATTGACAGACTCATTCCGCTTCGTGCTCACGTACGGAACGGAACTCTCTCTAAGACGGAGGGCTAATGCCACCCGAACTTTAGCATAATTGCTCCTGCGACTCCCACTAGGTATCCTACGGTGGACAACTACCAACACGCGACACCGAGTATCCTAGATATCATGTTACTCAAGGAGATCTCGCTCGACATCGAGTCGATAGAGACAATCCATGAACTAGACTCAGATCACAGGCCCGTCCTGTGTAAACTGGGCCAGAACGCCGGCGCGGTCCCTCCGACCAAATCCGTAGTGGACTGGCATCGTCTTGAGGTCAAACTCAAGGCCTTGGACCCCCAGGACAGCTACGTTCGATGACGCAAATCGAGCGATAGCAAGTCTCCGAGAAACCATCACTTCCACAGTCGCAGACTCGAAACGGACGGTTAAACTGTCGGGCGATCGACGGTTTAACTTTCCGCCCGACCTGCGACTCCTAATTAGGCAGAAAAAATGCAGCCAAACGCGCTTTCGACCGATACCGATCGGAATCGAACCGAACCCTACTTCGACGCCTTCAGCTAGAAGTCAAAGATCGTGTATCGGAACACCGACATACAACGTGGGACACTCTCCTAGAGGACATCGAGCCATCGCACACCGCCTACTGGCGGTTGGTCCGCAGTCTGAAAGCAGACCCCCGCGAATCTCTACCGCCGTTAGTTAGACCTAATAGCGCTTCAGTAGCCCTAGATGACTCCGAAAAAGCCGAATGCCTTGCGGACAACCTAGAGCAGCAATCGCGCGAACACATCGATACAGCCCACCTAACGGAGGTGGACCGCGTAATCGAGATTAGGGCTGCGCTTCCACCGGAAGGCGATCCTTTGAATTCAGTGACCCCCGAAGAGGTTCAAGATATTATTAAAAACTTAAAACCCAAATCCGCCCCGGGCCCAGATAATATTAGTAACAAAATTCTTAAAGCTCTCCCTGGGCCGCTTATCTGTTTACTGGCGACCATTTACAATACTTTACTCTCCAGTTGCTCCTTTCCGGACGACTGGAAAAGGAGCCAGGGTTATCGGCATTCGCAAGCCTAATAAACCAGCCAACCAGCCCTCTAGTTATCGTCCCATCAGCCTCCTCAGTTGCCTGGGGAAGCTCTACGAGCGGCTTTTATTAAACAGGCTCAATGAGCACGTGTTTTCCAACGGCCTTCTGCCGGCGGAACAATTCGGCTTTCGAGCTAGACATTCCTGTCCCGATCAACTATTCCGCCTAACGGAACATATCCTAAAAAGGCCTAAATCACCCTAAACATATTAGTACAGGGGCTCTTTTCTTCGATGTCGCAAAAGCATTCGACAAGGTCTGGCACAACGGCTTGCTTTACAAGCTGTACACACTCAAAGTGCCAGATAGGCTCGTACACACCATCCAGGCCTTCCTGTCGAACCGCTCTTTTCGATATCGAGTTGAAAGCACCCTCTCCACAAGCCGCCGCCTCACCGCCGGCGTACCACAAGGCTCCTGCCTCTCACCTTTGCTCTTTACGCTCTACACGAGCGATATACCTAAAGACGTCAATCTCGCGCTTTTCGCGGATGACACGGCGCTCTTTTATTCAGACCGCAACCTTAGACAATTAACCACTCGACTCCAAAGCGCAGCCGACCGCCTCGGCGATTGATTCCGCAAATGGAGAATAGAAATAAATCCCGAAAAAAGTGTGGCGATTCACTTCACACGAAGTACTTACCCGTCACATCTTTATAATGGCCCTCGTCAATGCAGAAAGTTGGGGCAAATATCCCTTTATGGCCAACCGCTCCCCTGGGAGAAAAAGGTCAAATACTTAGGAGTCACTTTCGACTCGCGTATGTCATTTACTACGCACATTAATAACGTTCGCAATAGAGCCGCGTTCGTCTCCGGCCGGCTACACAACTTAACTAACGCTAAAAGTAAAATGCCCTTAAGGCACAAATTATTATTATATAAGACCTGCGTACGACCTATTATGTCTTACGCATGCATGACCTTCGCCCACACGCACCCTACTCGCTTGTACAAGTTGCAAATAGTACAAAATAAGTTCATCCGCCGCGCAACCGGTGCGCAGTGGTATCAACGCAACGTCGACCTGCACAGCGATTGCAGACTCCCGACGATTCGCGAATATTTTAAAGACCTGACCAAACGGTTCTTCGATAGAGCCGAACATCATCCCAACCCTCTGGTGGTAAGCGCAGCAAATTACCAACCCGACCAAAACGCGAACGTCAACAAGCGTCGCCCGCGAAACGTCCTAATCGACCCGGTCGAGGAAGGGGACTTAGACACGCCGGACCCACTGCCGGGGGTCCCGCCGGACAACACTACACCCACAGTTAGTGCAACAACAAACACACTAGTTCGCCCTCGCCTCCGAGCACGGCGAGACCAACACAACGCGTACACAAGGTACATCCGCGTTCCGGGGCGGTTCTCACCGCCCCCAGCCACCGATTAGCTAATTGCACAGTCGACGGCCATCGGGGTTTCGCTCCGAACCACGATCTCGATGGCCCTTAGATGACACACCATAGTTAAACGCACGCATGAGCACATGCGTGGCCCTACCCACAGCGGAGGGCCCAAACCTGTGGGTTCTGGCTAGCCCATCGGTTCTGCGTCAGATGAAGCTTTAATAGTCTCGGGACTAAAGCAAAAACATCAGTTAATACAAGATACAAGATACAAGATTGACAGACTTCACATATTTGCGAAATATTTTTTTTTGTGATTGTTTCGAAAATACGTAGGTTTTCTCACGATGTTTTTCTTCAGCGCTAAGCACGTGATAAGTCAGTAATTAAAGTTAAAAAAAAATATTAATGCTATCAAATAAAGTTAATTTACTTCAACATTTAATTATAATCAAATTCTCAATAATTAAATGTCACATTTGTAACATAATATCAAGTTTTCATAAAAAAATATCTGACATCATAAAAATTATTATTAATTAGCCACAGTAACTTTTTATCTTGTCGTCCAGCATTTTTATGTCAATCAAACAACTATTGATAAATTCTCCTGATCTAGGCGTGTCTTTTAAGACAAGTCTCTGTGAGTTCCTTTTTGATCCATTATTAACATCGTTTTGAACAATTGTTTCTTTTTTTTCACAAAGTTACATGTTATTTTAATAGTTATTTTTCTGAATAGATATATCGTATTAAATAAGCTATTTGGTTTTTCCAATGAAAATTACTATTACTTATTATTGAATCAGACTGAACTAAATACATAATTTTCTTTAAACTAAAAATTTTAGTCATAGATCGATTATTATATTACAATTTCTAAAAAAAAAGCTATGGCGTCATCTCTCGTTCGAATTATCGTTGTAAAACGATATTCGAAACTGTTTGTATGCTGGTCCACCACATAAGGCGTAAAGACTTGAAATTTGGTAGGAATATTCCTTTCGCCGAGTAAAGGTCAGCTAAGAACGGACTTTACGAAATCACAAAACAATGTTTGCCGGATCAGTAAAGACTTCCCACAGCGGCGAAATTTCGTACTTTGTAGGAATGCAGAGATTATCCTTTCGCCGAGTAAAGGTCAGCTAAGAACGGACTTTACGAAATTTCACAAAACAATGTTTGCCGGATCAGCTAGTTATGGACATGCGCCTTCCCACAGCGGCGACAATCTTTTCGTACTTTGTCTACAAATTTTAATGTTCAATCATAAATGCAGAGATTATCACAATAAAATAAATAGATATATCGATTTTTTTTTTCGATAAGTCGAGGCCGATATTGATATTTTTATAAATATCTATACATCGATATATTTCTTGACTGTTGGTATCTCTAAAGTGCACAAATCGAGTTAAGAGGTACGTTAGAGGGACACTGCGACCACGGTACAGTGTAACGTCAATTTTGAATAGGTACTGTGAAGCCGTTCCTCTAAAGTTAGTACTGGTTACTGCCTTTGTCCCACTTAGGTAGGGTCGGCACAACATGTTATTCAGGTTGTAAGTGATTTTGGCTATATTTTTTACGACTAATCAATTCAGTAGCACAACTAGACTGGCTGAAAATAGAATCGGCTATCGTAAGTATTGTGCACTGGACGAGATTACTTAAATAGCAACATTTCATGTTGCTTTATGTATTTATGTATGCTTTATTAAACTATTTAAGTTGACCTCTCGGCCGCAGCGTTCCTGGTGCTCGCTGATGAATTATAGCGACAAAGACTTCGTGCAGAACTCACTCACCTAGGATAAAAGGCTCCGTGCGTGGATTGCCCAGCGGCGGGGAGTGGCGGCCGCCGCGAAGCGTGCCTGGAAGCAGAATCTAAGCTAGAGTCTGGTTTCTGTTCATATAAGTCATTTATAAGACATTTAATCCGACACTTCATTTGCACACATATTACATTTGGTTACAATGTTTATAATTACAAAACAACAAAAACAATATAATAAACTAAAAAAATAATCAAATAAATTAAATAACCTAAGAGGAATTAAAAGAAGAATCACACATCTATAAGAATCGTACTATCATACACCGTAAATGGAAAAAATTTAACAATCCACTGGACTATGATGTTTTAAAATAATAAGATAATGATAATAAATACTAAGATGAGATGTTTTAAAACTTACATTACTAGAACTGAAGAAGCCATTATTAAGACGCCGAAATTATTATGGAATTACACAAAATTAAAACGCAATTTTCGGTGTAAGTCTTATCCTAATACTTTGTACTTGAAGAATGAAGCCTTCACAAATGAAAAAGATATTTGCTCCGGTTTCAAAAAGTTTTTTGACAGCGTTTTCACAAATGTTTTAAGCGTACTAGTTTCCTAATGTTTGCAGACGATACCAAAATTTACACTAAAATTAGTTGTTTAGATGATTGTCAAAAGTTTCAGGAGGATTTAGATAGGTTATGCGAATATTATATAGAATAAGTGTTATTGTAAAAAAGTGCACCCAAATAACTTTTTCAAGGAAAATAAACCCAATTAAATTTACCTATAACTTAAATAACAAACCTATAACTAAATCACAATCAGTTCGGGACTTAAGGGTTGTATTAGATTCAAAATTTATAATGTCTGATCACATTAAATACATTGTAATCAAATCTTACAAAATGCTAGGATTCATTATAAGAACAGGTCAACCGTTTAAGTCAACATATTGCTTGAAGGTTTTATACTACAGTTTCGAACGTAGTGCTTTAGAATATTCAAGTAGTATTTGGTCCCCACAATATGACACCTACATTAATGACATTGAAAACATCCAAATAAATTTATAAAACATCTTAATTTTAATAATTGTCGTATTTCGGATAGCAACGAAGATGCAGATACTATACACTACCACAACTCAAGCAAAGACGCGAATTGATAGATACATTCCAGACCATACTCATCAGAGTGCTCCCCAGCCCATCTAACAGTATTAACCTGACAGCTGTACCAAAGCTTTAAGAGCTCTCTAATCTCCACCGGGACGGTTGTTTCTTGTTCCAACTTATACCAGACTATGTCATAAGAAACAGAATCAAATGCTTTGGACAGATCCAAGTAACAAGCTACTACTAGTGTCATACGAGCCGTATAATACTGGAAAAAGTGCTTAAGTGATAGAATTGCACTCTCCGTCGACATGCCAGGTGCAAAACCAAACTGAGTGTCATGAATTTGAATGTGCTTCATGTGTCTGTCAAGTAGCTAGTACAACGAATCAATTCCTATGTGAATTGCATAGTGTGCGTGTGATGGAACGTTTTTAAATTTTAACTGTGTCCAGTGTCACGACTATAACTGCATTGACATTTGTGACAATGCGAATACTAGGTACAATTTACAACAGAAATGACAAGTTGTTGGCATCTGACAAAAGAGCTCGTCTAATGTGAACATATTTTCGATGTATGATTTCATATTACTTTGTAAACATGTTTTGTAAATGCACATTGTAATGATGTGACAGTTGTATAAATTTTAATAAATAAAATATGACTTTAAACGATCACAATGGTGTTTATTTGGAGGAGAAAGTGCCGTGTGAAATCAGAGAGTGGCCTTCAATGATGTGGAAGAAGTGGATTGTGCAAGCAAAAGCGGTAGCGCGTAAGGCATGGAACCCGTGCCTGGTTCGTGTTGCTGCTATCATCTTAGTCATCACTGTTTTCGCTGTAAGTGCTGTTGCTTAGGTTGCTAAAAACTAAAAACCCTCGTTTAAGGAACTTCGCGGGTACATTGTTTAGAACAAATTATAAACAATTTTTTTTACTTAATTATAAACAAGTTTTAAAAATTATAAATATGTTTAAAACTAAAAGTATTCTATTTGTACTTAAATCAATTGCTTTAGCGACCATCTCTAAAATATAATTTTATCAAGATATAAATTTGTTGTAATTTTTAGGTTGTTAATAAACATGACAGAGATAGGAGCTTATTAAATTTTTATTAAAATTTTTGCTTTGCTAAATGTGACTAATAAACCTAAACCAACTTAATTTTATTCAAAAGTAGTTATAATATCTTTAGAAGGCAATATATAATATTTTTCCATTATTATATTATCTGGTGGTTAACTTATATAATATAAGTAGTCATATCTGTCTACTAAAGATCAAGACAAAGGCTATCAATTTTAATTTTTCACAATCCTTGGACATGAAGTAATTTACCTGAGTGAGTTTCTTCATACATATAGAATAGAAATTACATTAAATTAAATTTTGGCACTTCGGAGATGACATCATACTAGATGATCACAATTATGCCCAGTTTCTGAAAGACTGACCATTGTAGATGTTAACTAAACTAAATATCAGCTGTCAAATGGTTTTTCAAATATATTTTGAGTTGCCAAAAGGATGGTTAAACTCTTTGAATTGATCATTCTCATCATTAATAAGGTCCTTCTGGCCAATTCGGAGAGTTTTTGATTGACATCTATGATGATCAGTGTTTCAGAAACAGGGTGTTAATCTATTAAACTCCCATTTAATATATCATTAACCCTTTTTAAATTTCATCACATGCACACATTATCAATAAAAATAAAAAAAATAATCATAAACCTGCTTACTATTGGGATTTCAGATTTAATATTAACAATAGAATAACACAAAATAAAATTATATAACGAAAGTTGCTATATAATTATTCTTTAATAATTTTTTATCACTTTTAGAATATGAACTGGAATATACAAACAGAATCTAAAAGTAAAAGTAAAGTAACAAAAAAAATTTTTTTTTGTTATTATTTCGAAAATATGCAGGTTTCCTCACGATGTTTTCCTTCACCGCGGAGCACGTGATAAGTCAGCACTTAAAGTTAAATCAACCCAACAAAGTTAAATAAAGTAAAATCCTTTCCTGCCTTGCCCTAAAGATACCATCACTAACTTCTGATGGAAAGACAAACGGTGGTAGATCATTCCATTACTTTGCTGTACATATCATGAACAATGAAGCAAGATGAGTGAAATGTTGATAACAATAGGATGGAGTTTTATCAATTTACTATATATAATCAAAAATGCTTGCAATTCTGTGATACCACCAAGGACATATAACACATTTATGCAAAAGCTGCTGCTTGGCTCAAGCAGGTCTAAAAAAGTGTTGGCCAATACTTGTTTACTATCTAATATTAAAAATAAAACAGTACAACTGCACAGAATATCTCATGTACGATTTGTGTGCGTGTGTTAGGTAGTGAGTCCCAACAATCACTGTGACCTAAAAGATCTATTGTAGTCTAATATCTTATCTCTGTGTATACAATAATTGAAAAAACAACTGTTCAAAACTACCTATGTTAGTCTAAATAATGTTTAAACAATTTTTGCCTCTTAAAATGTATTTAATTAGATGTAGATTCTGTTTAGCCGTGATAGCTCAGTGTCTGGGCGCTCGCCTTTAATTCAATATACTCGAGCAACCTGAGTTCGATCCCCGGTGCCGGCACCAATAAAATTGTCAATAAGTGCTGAATTATCATGTGTATTTTTGAAATAATAACAAAAAAAATATTTCGAAGATATGTGAAGTCCGCCAATCCGCAGTGGGGCCGAGTGGTGGACTAGGCCCTGATATAGGCTGATAATTTACTTTCAATTTTTTTAACATATTCATGAATATACTTTATTGCACACAAGGAAATAGAAGGAAGAAGATACCGGAAACATAGTATACAAACAGGCTGCCTTATTGCTATGGTAGCAATTTCTTTTAGGCAACCTTAAGGTATAGGATATAGATAATAAAGTTGCGGGAAAATGGTGCAAATATAATTACATTAATACATACGTAGAAAAATAAAATCATCAAATATAATACATATCTATACAAATACAATAACAAATATATATATTATATACATATTAGGGTAATATAAAATACATACAGCTCAGAGGAAAAAGGAACGTGGGGTTGAAATAAAACAGGAAGAGAAAGGAGATGGGCTTTCAGGTGTTTCTTAAAAGAGGGACTTCATATAACAATGCACTTTAAAGATTCACCTACATGGAATTTATTAGCTAAATCAAAATTTAAAATACAATTATAACAGGCTTTACACTTTTTTAACTTATAGTCAAAAGTCCATGCAATAATCATAAAGCAATACATGACAAAATTAAAATTCTTTACAGTAAATCTAGAATAACTTGATATATTTCTTATAAGAGGTTATAATTTTACCTTACACGGTTTGCTTTTTAATATCCAAATTATCTAAATCTTGTGGTAATAATTAATTAATTAATTTATTTATACTTTATTGTACTCCAAAAATAAAAAAATATAAAAGCAAATTACAAATGAATATAAAAGGAAATACTAGGAGTAGAATATGGAAGGAAGTAGTAATAATGTGGGACATGCATGGATATTGGATACTGTAGTGTTTGCAAATGTGCAAATGCAATTTTAAACAGAATTAAAAAAGTTCCATTTACTAATTTGTGATTAATGAACCTTAGAAAGGGTTTGGCTCAGAAGAAGGCGAAATCTTGGCTCACCTTTTCATGGACAAAACAAAATCGAGTTCTTTTGTAGCGAGCAGAAACAAATTTTCTTTCGTCAAAAGAAATGGCATTTTACGTGTGTCACACTGAAAGTGTGATGACCTACGGAACACAGACGTGGTCCTTCACTGCTGGCCGTATGAGGAAGCTCAAAGTCGCTCAGCGAGATGTGTAGCGGGCTATGCTCGGTATTTCTCTGCGTGATAGAGTTCGTAACGAAGACATCCGCAGTAGAACCAATCTTTAATTCTTGGAAATAATTAGAAGTCGCAGGGCGCCAGAGAGGATTATAGTGCGGATGACTCATTATCTCGACACATGCCATAGTCAAATATTCAATTGTTCACGGATAGCGGTGAAGCGCTGCCGTGATGAAGGAGGATTCTTTTTCCGCTGCTGACGATCATTTTCCAAGTCGACAGGCAAACAACGGTTAACATACCTGCCTGCAGTAACTGTCCATCTTTCAGCACAACTGTCGCGAATTGACCTTCCGACCAAAGGACATGGCAATCATCTTTTTACCTTAACTTCTTCCTTTCTTTACTTTATTTGGCCGATCTTCAAAAGGAAACACCCACTTTCTTGCATTAAATTTGAAGTGGGACAAGACTTTTGAAATTGCGACAAGACTTTTGAGTTTGAAAAACAAATGACAAATGAATGCAATAAACCAATACTGAACAAAACGGGCCAGTCCTAAAAACTTTCAGTTTCACCCTGTATACAATCTCAAACATTAGCCGATTTACCATCCACAAATGGAACCGCAACAAGCCTTTTGTGGTCAGATCCATATTCAATATTCAATCAAAAAATTCTGACTTATTTGAGAATTCCTTATCTATAGAAAATATTAACAAAGCTTGTGAGCCCTAACAATCTAATAGAATGATTATGTACATATAGAGCAATAAATGTTGAAAATATGACAAGTATTTGTGACGTTATAAATGAGCCATAAAAATCTAAGTTTTACCCAGGTCAAATTATTATCAAAGTTTCGTCGAAGATAATATCATGTACAAAGTGTTAAAGTTTAACTTTGTTTCCAAGAAATCAGCATAAATGTGTAACCTTACTGCTGAATACAGTGGAGATAGCGTCATAATTATTGATCATAGCATGGAACTCCGTCGATGTTGTAAAATTCAAGTCCTTTATGCTATCTACCTATATGAAATACCGAATCTACAGCGTGTCGTTACCATCGCGACAATAAATGAACACACATATAGGGGATAACTTTTTAAAGTTGTATTAAACATTTAAATTCTTTAAACATCAATATTTACAGAGTTATAAAATTTTCCAAAACAAAGAATTTTAGAACACCCTTACCTATAAAAGCGTAACGTAAAGTTCATTTGTAAAGGTCACAAAGCATATGAATGGGTTGAATGAATTTAAAAGAGACAAAACATACTGTTAGAAGGAGAGGCTTGTAATACGACGCTGTGGCGCGAGTTGTATAGGATGTTACAAATTATGTTTCTTTTTTACTTAATTAGTTTGTTTGAAAAAACAATTTTTTTAATTATGGATTTTGTTTAAAGTTAATATTTTTTTATGATTATTGGCAAGTAGCGTTAGACGTGTGTTCATTTATTGTCGCGATGGTAACGACACGCTGTATACCTTTATGATAATACCGAAATAGCCCTAATCTGGACCAAAACCCCATAGAATTTATAATTTTGCTGAAGCGCAGGATCAGGCGGAACAAGATGAGCACAAAGAGCTAAATCTCCGCCCGCGCAAACAAAATAACACTATCAGTCCTAAGATCTGCATCGTCTGGCAAGTTCTATAAAAAAAAGAATTTCTGTGTTTAATCACCGCTTGGAGGTAGACGGATTTAAGCTGAGTATTAGTGTAGTAAGAGTGCGCTTTTTCATTTTCCGCCTGACCAAAATCCGCATCAGACAGTTACTCGTTGTGGGTGCATTTGTTTCTCATGGATTGCATGAGGATTTTCTGAAAAATTTGACAATTTTGTGTATTCACAAAGCCAGTCATATGGAAATGCGCTTCATCGGAGAAAATGACTTTTTTCGAAAAATTGGCAGCGACTTCACTTTGCTCCATTACCCATTGAACGAATTACCGGTGCTTTCCGTGGTCTGCTGGTTTGAGCTCCTGAGTTAACTGAATCTTGTACGCATGAAGGTGGAGGTATTTAGTCAAAATTCGCCGCGTAGTGCTTCGTGAAATTTGAAGTTGTTGAGAATGTCGAATTGATGTTTTCGGGTTTTCGGCGACACTCTCGTTCAATGGACAGGTACGTTGACGCAAAGGATTCTTACTATCCATAACTGACCCAGTTTCTTTAAATTTTTTGACCATTCTTCGAATGGTTGACACATTAGGTGCACTTTCTCGGCTGAAAACTTGGCGAAGTTTGCGAGCGGTTGCAGCGTAACGTTCCCCATTTTTGTAATGAGTTTTCACAATTATAACGCGTTGTCTTTTCGAAAAGCGCTCCATTTTTAATAATCGGAATAAACAGAGGTGACAGCTGTAAAATTTCAGACTTTCCACTTGCATGAAAAAAACATATTCCAATTTTAAAAAGTGCACTCTTACTGAGACACCCGCAATAAACTAAATATCTCAACGTATTAAATGATCTTATTATATGTATACTGTTCCTATAAAACTGAAAGATGTTGAAGGAGTTCTATACTTTGTGGCCACAGCTACATATATTAATATGTATATACAAAATTGCACGCAATACACACTGCACTTTTTGATACGGAAGTTTGTCTGGCGAACACACTACGCCGATTCGCATCCGTATGACATTTCCAATTCATTTTCTTTTTTCTGTTTCTTGTGCTCGAAATCATTGAACACACAGTTTCATCTAGATTTTTGCGCCTGTCACCGTAATTAGCATAGTTAAAAGATAATGCGTATTTTATACACGTGATAGAATTGAATTTATGGTTCGAATACTGGAAAATAATATGGTCACACGGTAATTCGCGGCAGGGGTGCGTGCGGGGCGCTTCGGGCGCAGACCTGGTGATCGAGATCCCGGCGTCCGGCGCGGGCGCGGAGGCGGAGGGCGCGCGCTACAGGCTCGACTACTCGCCGCCGCATGGCTCGCCCGCGCCCAACTTCACCGTGCCCGCGCGCGCCTCCACCATCAACTTCCAGGGCCTGCCCGGCACCAAGTATCATTTCATGCTCTACTACTCCAACGCCACCTTTGCAGACCTGCTCACGTGGAACCAGACCATCATTACCGGTGAGGCGTAGACCCTATCCAAATGCCGTACATTCGCCACAACTCCTAAGCCTAACCTTCGTTTACGATGTTTGTGCTAGCGCCGGAGCCGCCGACGAACTTGAACGTGACGCAGGGTCGCAACAAGAAAACCATTATCACGTGGTCAGCGCCCGCACACGGTGACTACACGGGCTTCCGGTTTAAGGTAAGAGGAGGAACCGAAGCAGCCAGACATAACAGAACCAGCGGCGGGTGAATTGGGTGAGGGGGATCAAGGAATTACAGTGATGCGTGCGGCAGGTGATACCGTTGACGGATCCGCGCGAAGGGACGCGCGACATGACCGTGGAGGGAGGCAACGGCAGCTACGTGGTGCGCGACCTCTCGCCCGGCGCCACCTACCAGCTGCACGCGTTCACGCTGCTGCACGACAAGGAGAGCGCCGCCTACGCCTCGCGCAACTTCACCGTCCGTGAGTAGCCGACACGCAGCCCCGCCTCCACTACTGGCCTCACCCTCAGTATTCGAGCTCCACTAACAATTGGCTATCGGTCAGGTTGTTGTATATTGAGTGGGCTAATTAGCCATGAATAAATTTGGAATGTAAAAAATGCCCCAAATAACGGATATACGAGTTAACACAAAACGGCGCCTTCCGTTGAACAAGAATGCTATTTTACTTTCAGTATTAAATTGTTTGAACAGCAAATTTTTTGGTGCTTCATATCTTTCATTATGGTTCCGGCCAAGTTCAAGGCGCATCGCCTGTGGTACATTCTGCTCCTCCTCCTCCTCAGAGGCAGGAAGCTGTTTCAGCACCGCATAGACCATGTCTGTCGATCGTTCATACTTTGCATTTACCAGCCGACGTCGCGTTGTGTAACCGATTCGCTCATAAATACAGATAAAATGGCGCTAAATATCATTGTGTTTTGTAGATATTTCGAGAACTTGCTATAGGCAAGTGTCGATTGATATTTTGAACCTGCAATTGAATCGATCGTAAATTTAACTCTCCGTGTCTTCACCGTAAACGTCGGCGGAGGACTTAGATATTATCATACCTGTGCGTAAACTTGGGAGGTCCATGTTGAAAATGTGTGTGTCTCTTTTATATATCTTTCTGAACAGGGATTGAAGATTTCAATCAAAAGTAGTTCAGAAGATTGTAAAGTTCGTGCTACAGTTTTTATCGCATAGACTGCAACACTCCTAAAGCTTTCCATCTTTTATTCCAGTCGAAAAGATTTCTTTCATGCTTTTCTTTTAAACAACTCATAAAAATAGTTTAGTAGTCCGATATTTTTTAAATCCGGAACAATACGTGATTATTTTTCGTTTATTAGAAGAATGGCGCGGCCGCGAGAAAGTGTACCGTGCGCGTATGACACACGCCATGTCGTGGTGTCGAACGGACAATTGGGCGCGTGATGTCAGCGCGTGTTGCCGCCAAAGTGACGTCAAGGCGTTCGCCGAACAATCGCCAGCTTCTCGGGAGATTTCTGCGCCGACATTGATCCTTTCATAATTATACTAGCGGCATTCGGGGCGGTTTCCTAAAATGCCAAATGATACGTGATATTCCGCGCTAAGTTCTTCACAATAAAACTATATACGCTGATAGAGCGAGACGCCGCAATAGCGTAATTTATACCAAAGCTAAAATAATTCAAGAACAGAGAAAACTCTTGCAATATGCGAATTATAAGTAATCCGTTTTAAAGTACGTGATACCTTATGAATGTTGTATATTTATTTTTACGTAGAATTCGACGTTTCAGAAGAACGTACAGGCGCCTATTTTTATAAATATATTTTGTATTTGAAAGTCGCGATGGTGTTGTCTCTTGAACACGCCGCAGTTGTTCGTAAGAATCAATGGACCTTGAATTGGACTCGCGAACCGAAACGTATGCGTTCCTTTATGATGAATATTAATAAAGGCAGCGGTTTTGTTACTTATTATGCGTAGTTTTTCTAGACACTCGATTAGCGTATGAGCAAAGGCCAAAGATAGCGAACGTTTGCAAAGGACCAGTTAATTCATACTAAAATTGTCTATTACAGATTACTATCTATAATCTGTAATAAATGAATGAAATAAAATGTATTCTAGTGTCGGTATTGATAAATTACTGCTTGCGTATTCTATTACATCTAAACTTTACCTCGTGTTCGTGGATTTGTAAGATGATCGTATGTTATATCAAATGTTTCAAATCTTCAGTTATAATTAAAAAAATAACTAAAGCGTTTCAAAAGCGAATCGTAATCCCACAGCTGCTCGACATTATATCAACGGAATGTCACGGATTTTGACGCCGTGTTCATCCGTGAATTTACCGCATTTGTACAAATGGACGATGACGTTTTCGGTTTAGTTAGGAATGCACAAAAGTATTTCGTTCTTAAACACAAAATATAGCACGTGTAAACTAGATATTTAAAAAGATGATTTCTTGCATTTTATGAAACGTCAAATATACAGTACATTAAAGAATGTCCCGGTACCAGTTATCTATTAGTAAGAATACAAAGCGTTTTTGAGTGATGAGCTGTAATGTGTCCGGGCCTAAATACACTCTCTGGTCTTGGCACCAAAGACATTGCTGACTTTAATTGTAATTACTGATTTATCAAATCCTCAGCTTGGAAGATACCGTCGGCAGGAAATCTTATCTTAGAACTAAATAAATAATTTAAACGGTTAAACATATGTCCAATCGGTGTAAATACCGCCAAGTTAGCTCCCTCATCGGGCCGGATGGGATGAGTTCGCGTCGCGGTCGAGCCCTCACTGTACAAGTAGAATGTAAAAAAGCATTTTACTAACGATATTTGAGCTATTTACCTCGACTTTGATGGCGCGGGCCATAGGTTCTATGCCCGCCCGATAGATTATTTCCATGACCTACAAATAATTGTTCTAGATATATTTAATTATTGATGAAAAATATACAAACATGTAGATACATCTGCTCGTCAACGATCGTGGACAATGTTTAAAGTCATATGAAAGTGTTGTTTTTTCTTTGTAGATGCACTGACATTGTCAATAATTGATTATTGGTTATTGTAAATTTAAATTTTCATGTTCAAGTAACAATGCAACCAACTACGCGGTACTACCATGGCGACCAAGCCCGTTGCGAATTGAGGTTCGGTGTGCGCGCGCATCGCAATTTTAGAAGCCCAAGTTCAGAAATGCAAAGGTTCAAAGATAGGATTGTTACAAGGAAATAATTTAGTTGTTAACTTATTCACTAATTTCCCTTCCGTGCCGCCGTGTTCGCGCGCTGAAAACAGTAAGTCCTGCGCTTAGTGGAGCGAAGGGTCGCCTCGGTGGCATATGGAAGACGCTTCGCCAGGCTCCAGTGAGATCGACTATCGGCTCATAGTCTCCGCAAGGAGCACCGTCAGCAGGAAGCCAGGTGTCTTTCAATTCTTCCAAGCGTTCATTGCCTTGAAACTAGGAAAGATACAGCACAGCGCAGCGGTTTCCTCAATTATTTTTTTATTTCCTTTGCTTAAAATTATATTTTGCCGTGTTATGTTCTTGCTTCAAGTGTTGTTGTGATTTATTTACAATATTTGGGCTTATGAATTCGTTCACTTCTTAAAAATTGACATGTTAAACATCAGCTTTTAGCAATATCAAATTGATTTTGTATAAAAAAAACTAATTTTAAAATTTTAAAGAAAATAGTAATGTATGATATATATTTCTATTTATGGACAATATTATGATGACTTCGTGGCGCAGTTTATGCAGTTTATTTTTTCAGACTTATGAGTCGGGGGTTGTGGATTCGATTCCCGCATGGGGCAATTATTTGTGTTACCCACTATAATTGTTTCGGATCCGGGTGTTTGTCCACCCAATAATGTTGTCCCACAGCAAGGGCAAAAAAGAAAGAGACCGTAAAAGCGAAACTCTTAAATTTATCAGATGTATTCCGGCTTGTTTTTAAACAGGTTTGCGATACATTGTAATTCTACATACTAAACGAGATTTGTTGTGAAACCGATGTCACGCCCAATTACATTCTGTTTTGTAGTGGTCCTTCAATATAGCGAATATTACAAAAATTATAATATTGATCATGCATGTTGTCTTGTGGGCTGTTCTTTGATTCACTTTTTTCATTTTCTTTTTGTAATAAACTTTGTGTAGTATGAAAGAATTTTAAAAACTGGTTAAAATAACCTTATTTTACCAAACAAAAAATATCATTTGAATCCTAAAATTTCAAACGTTAAAGGCTCCCGCTGAGAGTAGTATAGTATTCATATTATTTAGTTAGATTACAACTCGTAGTGCTGATAATTTTAATGGTGTATCACAGAATATTCGTGTATTTATCATTTTAAACAATCAACCATTATGAATAATTTCACTCATCACCTGGCAGCAACATAATATAATATATTTATAATTTATATATGATTAATATAATATATGATAATTTTAAGTCAACCCCCCCAAATAAAATTTTTAAATTTGATGTTTTTGTTGATGCAATGTTTCCTTGAAGGTGTTTTCGTATATGCAACTAATTTAATATATACATTTTACATATTCTTTGGGACTAATTTTAAAGTGAGAAATGATTCATGGATAAATTTTATATTAAACTATAATTTAAAGATAAAAAACCACTAGCAGTCTCCTTTAGAGAAAGTCGTTTAACAAAGTTATATATTTAATAACAGATAGTGACATTGTCTGCTTCAAGAGATTTACCCAATGTTGTAAGTTGTTTGCAGCCGTGTCTCATTTTCTCTATCATTTCCAATAACACATTGCACGTTTATATTATGAGCACATTGCATGCTTCGTGCGTTTCTTGGCAAGTTCTCTGGGTGCTTGTGTTACTGAAAGGCTCCACAAAGCCATGTGCCCGATACAGGTCCGAACACGCCGGGCAAGTTCATCGTGTGGTTCCGCAACGAGACCACGCTGCTGGTGCTGTGGCAGCCCCCCTACCCACCGGGCGCTTACACGCACTACAAGGTACGTGCGCAACATTATTACGATGATGATGATAAAGTTGAATGGACGCATGCCATAATAATCTGTTAGACAATCGCCTAACAATCGACTCCGATAATTATAAGCGATCGATGTCTCCGAGATAAATTGGCAGGTCGTCGATTCTGAGCAAAGAACGGCACGGCTGCGGTTTGATTCGTTTCGTTTTTCACATTGGGCCCGCAGGTGTCGATCGAGCCGCGCGACGCCCGCGACTCGGAGCTGTACGTGGAGAAGGAGGGCGAGCCGCCGGGGCCCGCGCAGGCCGCCTTCAAGGTAAGCGCCTAGCGTATAGCCGCCTCCCGGCTGCGCCCGCGCGGGCCTGACCGCTCCCTATACGCAGGGCCTGGTGCCGGGGCGCGCCTACAACATCTCCGTGCAAACGGTGTCGGAGCCCGAGGTGTCGGCGCCCACCACGGCGCAGTACCGCACGGTGCCGCTGCGGCCGCGCAACGTCACCGTGGAGCCGCGCGAGCTGCGCGAGACCTCCTTCCGCGTGTCCTGGCTGCCCCCCGCCGAGCACAGGTGCGCCCGCGACCGTAGGCCTTCGCCTCTGGCCCGCCCCGGCTGCGCCTAACGGCCGCGTGTCCGTCGCAGCGAGTTCGAGAAGTACCAGGTGTCGGTGGCGCTGGCGGAGAACGGCGGCGGCGGCGGCGGCAGGCGGCTGGCGCCGGTGGTGCGCGCCCGCGACGAGCCCACCAGCGCCGCCTTCGAGGGGCTGGAGCCCGGCGGCCACTACACCGTCACCGTCAAGACCATGTCCGGCAAGGTCACCTCGTGGCCCGCCGCCGCGGACTTCACGCTCAGTCAGTGCCCCACTACTCCACTCCACTCCACTCCACTCCTCCATTTGCCATGGTGACATACTATTTGAACACGACCAACAAATCTATTCGGACCATGTAAATTGCGTCCTCTTTAAAAAGATGTTCGATACATGATCTTTCCACAAACCCATCATTTTTGGCGCGGAGTTCGCAGGCACGTTGTTATTTAGAAGTTTTCCCCAAATTCTCCAGAACCCGGTACTCAATGTTTTATCTCTTTATTTCACGGCCAGCAGACTTCCCCGAGTTGACTGACCAGAAGCTATGGGAGCTAGTGTTAATAAGAAGCAAGCTCTCAACCCCCTTTTTTTTTTTTTTTTTTTTTTTTGGGAAAAATCCTTTATGGATCCCCCTGCCACTGGATCGGGGGAGTGGCAGGGGTATGTGGGAGTCCCGGTGAGAAACGGATACCCACTAAAAAACCCACGTTGCACCGGTCACTGTCGCATCGGCCGGGGACACGGGAACACGTGGACGCAATCTTCCGCGAACCCGGCGCAACTATGGCCCTGTTTAGGACTCCTCTACTGCATCGTGCTGTGCCGGTGCAATTGGCACAGCACACTCGAGCCCCATATTGAGCGACAGACACCCCCATGTCTGCCGCTCAGGGTCTGCCGTGTCGCCTGTCCAGCCACTTCCTGAGGACAGGACGTATGGCCTCAACGGTTCTTAGGCCGGCACTGGTCCGATAGCAAGATATATATCCGGGCTCGGCTGCGCGTTGCAGAGCCGCTGCCGGTGCGCGGGCTGCAGTGGCGCGACGCGGAGGCGGGCGACGGGCTGCTGGTGTGGTGGCAGCCGGCCGAGGGCAGCACGCAGGACGAGTACAAGGTGCGCGCGCCGGCCGGGCCCCCGCCCCCCCCCCCTCGCCCCGGCCCCCTCGCCCCGCTCACCGGCCGCTCGTGCGCAGGTGTCGTACCACGAGACGGGCCCGTCGCACGACGACAGCAGCACGCTGACCACGGCGGGCACCAACGCCACGCTGGAGGGGCTGCTGCCGGGGCGCAACTACAGCATCGCCGTGAGCGCGGTGGCGCGCGGCGAGGCGTCGGCCCCCGCGTGGGCGTGGGCGGCGCGCCGCCCGCTGGCGCCCGCGCTGCAGGCCGCCGCCGCCGAGCGCGGCGCGCTGCGCCTGGCCTGGCGCGCCGACGTCACCTCGCGCCAGCGCGCCTACGAGCTGCGCTACCGCCGCCGCGAGCCGCAGCCGCGCCCCTTCCGCACGGTCGGTGCCCTCCAGCCTCCACTCCCGCCCTGGGATGCCGTTTCAAAAATAATCCTTGGCCCACTTTATCTTAAAACCCAACAACACGCAATGACATAAACGTAGCATGTTACATTCATAAAGTTTTCGACTGATACAAAAAAGGCATTCTCCACTTTGTATGGGGGTTTTGGCTTGGAGTGAACATTCACTGAGAATAACAACGATGTGTAGAATTAATAGATTTATTCAAAAGCAATTACAAAAATAATAAATTTTGTGTCCAGGTGTTTCATAGTTTTTTTAAAAAAAAATTATTAACAGGGCTTTGAAATATAATATCGAATTTAGTTTTCATATTTTTGATTAATCAGATTCATAAGTTAATAAAATGATATATAATAACCGGGCAGGTGGATTACTGTGAACCAAATAAAGTATATTATATGGGCACAGCAACCCACTGTCCGTCGACCCAACATGCAGTTGCAAAAATATTGTTTTATACTACCTGTCTGTGTTATATTATTTTCATATGAGATATAAATATAATATATTTTGCTGCTGATACACGACACCATACATTCACAATACCAAAGAGAATGTAATCACTACGTTTACCTATACAATACCTACGAATAAGGCAACGAAAATGACATTTGTCAAAATAACAGTCACAACTCCAACCAAAGTATTGCCTAATGTCGCCATAAAAATCGTAACCAATGAACAATTTTTTTTATATGATTCTGGGATTTTGTTATCTAATACATTGGCAAATATTATTCAAATACATTGGTGATTGAAGTTGATCAAAATAATACAATGTTAACTTTAATTCCTTATAAATATTTATGTATAAAAATGCAGTGCCACATGATTTCGTGACTTATGCACTTTTGATAAATTATTATTACCACAAATAAAATCTAAGTTAATAAATGAGAATAATAATAATATTATTTTGATTGATTAAAAAGAATATTCATAGATGTGATTGAGATTTTTATACTGGCAAGGTAATATTTTAAAATGTCGACAAGACTTTGTGTATATAAATCAATATAAATACTCATTATTATATGTATTTATCGGTTTAAATCGATACAACCGAAAAATACAAATATTCATGTTTTATTCAGGGAGATTTTTTGGTAAAATTGTTTTTATCTAAGAATTCTGTTCACGCGAAGCCAAAAATGGACAATGTCCTTTACACTTAATTGGGGCGATGCTACGATAAGAGAAAATGATGATCCGAATAGAGTCCCATGTCATAACGGTGGCGATAACATGCGCAGCTGGAAACTAGCGACACGAACGCGACCCTGGAGGAGCTGTTCCCGGGCGCCGTGTACGAGATCCAGCTGGCGGCCATCAGTCACGGCCTGCACAGCGAGTGGTACACCGTGCTGGAGCCCGTCCGTGAGTCCGCCGCTTCTTCGCCGCATCTTCGCCGCTTTACTGACGTGTCAATTGAGTCACTTTTAAACCACAATTTTCCCATTATCAAATTTCAACGTACGTTCCAAACACGGTCTCAACACTACCAGGCAACAAGTTGAATAATGGTAATCGCATCCGTGCACAGTGATAGTCTAAGAGTGTGAAGAGACTTTTTCAGCAGAAAAAGGCCCAGAGTGAGGCTACAAAGGCGCGTGCGCAGGTCCGCTGCCGGCCGAGTGGATGGAGGTGAAGCGCGCCACGTCCAACTCGGTGGCGGTGCGCTGGCGCGGGCCGGAGGGCGGCGCCGTGGGCGGCTTCTCGCTGCGCTACCGCACGCAGCGCGACGGGCCCCAGCCCTGGACCGAGCTCCAGCCCCTGCCGCCCGGCGCCACCTACGCGGAGGCAAGCCACGGCATCTTCCTCCGCTCGGCCACTTCGGTGCCTCGCCACTACTCCGATCCTCCCGTCCGCAGATAACGAACATGACGCACGGCGAGCGCTACACCATCGAGCTGGACACGGAGAGCGAGGCGGCGGACCACAAGACGGTGGCCAGCGGCCGGCCGCTCTCCGCCGAGCACACCGTCCGTGAGTAGCGCGCGCCGCTCGCTCGCGTCGAGTCGAGGGGCGGCGGAGTGACGCGGCGGTGCGCCGTCCGCAGGTCCGAACCCCGTGTCGAACGTGGAACAGCTGGCGGACACGCTGAACATGACGCTCGAGTGGCCCCGGCCCGCCGGCCGCGTCGAGTGGTACGAGCTGCGCTGGTGGCCCGCCGGCGACGGGCCGGAGCCGGAGGGCGCGGAGGGCGCGGAGGGGGCGGAGGGGCAGCCGGAGGGGGCGGAGGGCGCGGGCGCGCGCAACATCAGCGCCGGCGCGGGCTCGGCGCGGCGGGTGCGCGCGCTGCTCGGCGGGCTGCGCCCCGGGCGCGGCTACAACGTGTCCATCGCCGCCCACTCGTACAACCTCACCAGCGACCTGTTCACCATGCACGCGCGCACGCGTAAGTGGCGGGCCGGGCGGGCGCCTCCGCCTCGGCGCGGACCCGCCCGCCACCCCGTGCCTCGCTCGTTGCAGGCCCGGTGATCCAGTCGGAGATGATCGTGAACGAGTCCAGCCGGCCCGAGTCGGACGACAACGAGACGGTGTCCGCCGACCTGGTAGGTGCGGGGCGGGGCGGGGCGGGGCGGGGCGGGGCGGCGCTCGACCCGACCGCTAACCGGCGCGACTCGTGCTCGTCCGCAGCGGGTGGTGTACACGCGCACGCCGGCGGCCGCGGCGCTGTTCGACGCGTACCGCTTCCGGCTGGAGGCGGCGGGCGAGGAGGCGCGCTGGGCCGAGCGGCCGGCCGCCGCCGACTCGCACGCCGTGGACTTCCGCGGCCTCGTGCCCGGCCGCCTCTACAACCTCACCATGTGGACCGTCAGCCGCAACGTCACCTCGCACCCCGTGCAGCGCCAGGCGCGCCTCTGTACGTACTGACGATTATGATCAATGTTGTCTCATCGCGTTCTAATTGCCGCCTGGTTTTAGGTGTAGTGACCGATTTGTTCAGAACGATTACCTAGCCGCGATGTTATTTAAAATTAAATCGTATAAACTTTAATTCTTGGCAGACTATGTGCATATTATATTTCACGACCTTCGGTTATGTTATAGCCGCGATAGCACAGTGTCCGGGCGCTCGCCTTTAATTCAATATACTCGAGCAAACTGAATTCGATCCCCGGTGCCGGCACCAATGAAGTTTTTAAGTTTAAGTGCTGATTTATCACGTGCTCCGCGGTGAAGGAAAACTTCGTGAGGAAACCTGTTTATGTTCGAAATAATATCAAAAAAAATGTGTCAAGTATCAGTAAATTACCAACCCGACACTAACGAGCGTCAACAAGCGTCGCCCGCGCAACGTCCTCATCGAACCAATCGAGGAAGGGAACCCACCGTCGTGGGTCCCACCATATAACACTACACACACAGTTAATGCCACAGCCACCGACAAACCTACGAGCGTTGCAAATCTTCGGGAATGTGTAACTCTGTAAGTGTGAGGGGAGCGATGGTGGCGTTTTAAAAGAGCAGCGACGTGCCGCAGTCCCGCGGCCGGTGTGGGAGCTGCGCGCGACGGAGGTGGGCGCTTGGCACGTGGCGCTGGCGTGGGCGCGGCCGGCGGGCGACTTCACGGACTTCGAGGTGCAGTACCTGGCCGCGCCCGACCAGCTGCAGGCCGTGCGCAGCGAGCGGCCCGAGCTGAACCTGACGGCGCTGCGGCCGCACCGCGACTACACGTTCACGGTGGAGGTGCGCGCCGGCACGCCCGCCACCATCCTGACGCGGTCGCGCGCGCGCTCGCTGGCCGTGCGCACGCGCGAGGCGCCGCCCGCCGCGCCCTCCGCCTTCGCGCCCAGCGACGCGCGCCCCTCCGAGCTCACCTTCGCCTGGCGCCTGCCGCCGCAGGACCGCCACGGCGTGCTGCGCCGCTTCACGCTCTCCTACGCGCCGCGCGACCGCCCGCGCGACCTGCGCACGCTCGACTTCCCGCCGGACGGTGAGTGCCCCCGCCCCGCCCCGCCCCGCCCCGCCCCGCCCCGCCCCCGAGCGCCGCCCGCTCACGCCGCCCCGCCCCCCGCCCGCAGCCGCCGGCGGCACTGTGACGGGCCTGGTGCCGGGCGTGACGTACGAGTTCGCACTGCGCGCCGAGTCGGGCGCGGGCGCGGGCGCCGCCGCGCGCTGGAGCCAGCACATGGCGATCGCGGCGCCGCCGCGGCCGCGCGACGACGCGCTGCCCGCGCCCGTGGCCGCCACCAGCTCCACGGTGGCGGTGCGCTTCCGCGCCGACTACTTCTCGCCCGCCAACGGCAACGTGACGGCGTACACGCTGGTGGTGGGCGAGGAGGCGCGCAACGACACGCCGGCGCGGCTGCCGGCGTGGCGCGACGTGCACCGGCTGCCGCTGTGGCCGCCCTACCAGGTGACGGAGCCCTACTACCCGTTCCACGCGTCGCCCGTCGAGGAGTTCACCATCGGCTCGGAGCGGTGCGAGGGCGGCGGCCGCGCCTACTGCAACGGCCCGCTCAAGCCCAACGCGCGCTACTTCGTCAAGCTGCGCGCCTTCACCGCGCCCGACAAGTTCACCGACACCGCCTACGTGCAGGTCTACACCGGTATGTCCAACGATTTTCGTTAATTATCATTTATTTATTTATAATAGTACACAATTACACATTACTATCTCTATGATGTCTATCCCAATATGCAACTGACGCAATTTTCAGGCACGTCACAAGACTCGGTTAGTGATGAAGACGAATTAAGTTTTATTCAAATAATTATTTGCTTTATTCAATCATGAACAGTAGGTTTAACTCGTTCCAATAATAGTACTATCATGTCATAGAAGACCTGCGTGAAGTATAGGTACTTCTGCGTTTCGTCTGGTGTGCGAGGTAACCGCACTACCACTTTTTAAAGGTTCGGAAAACGTCAGATTATCATGGGTGGCTGTTACCACCTCTCGCAACAACCTCCTCGCATTAAAATCTTACTAGCTAAAAAAAATTGGTTGTTGATTGTAAATTATGTTTATCATTTCACTATGTTTTAATGTATACTAGTAAGAGCTTATACGGATATTTCAAAACATTGAGATTTTTTGCATTGAGATTTTATTTAACCTAAGTAAAGAGGGGGATAAAATAAGAAACCATTAGAAAACCAAGATACAGGACGTAATTCTAAAAGAACAAAATTTGTATCATCCTATACAACTCGCGCCACAGCGTCGCATTACAAGCCTCTCCTTCTAACAGTATGTTTTGTCTCTTTTAAATTCATTCAACCCATTCATATGCTTTGTGACCTTTACAAATGAACTTTACGTTACAGTTTTATACGTAAGGGTGTTCTAAAATTCTTTGTTTTGGAAAATTTAATAACTCTGTAAATATTGATGTTTAAAGAATGTAAAAGTTTAATACAATTTTAAAAAGTTATCCTCTATATGTGTGTTCATTTATTGTCGCGATGGTAACGACACGCTGTAGATTATAAATAATGTATTTATTATAGATGTCAATAACGAAGACGTTTGTTATTTTTAATATATAATTTAATAATAGTGCATCGGCGATATAAATCAATGAAAATGCCCATATCTAATCAAGATGCGATGTTAAGATTACGAGCACAAATAAACGAAGTGAGAAATGAGCGCCATCGTTATGTCTCGAGCATATTGAGGACGTCCTTAAGGCGCTGTACGCAGTGAAATTTTAGCTATTTGGGTGGTGAAGTATGAGGAAGCGGAGGAGGGGTAACGCCGCCTAGCGGCGCGTAGCGCGCGAGTTTCGTCGCCGCCCCACGGGACCAAGTCATTCATTACCTACTAGTGGTGGGCCATAGGATACTATCGATAGTATCATGGAAGGCTTTTCAAAATATACACAGATGATCCCTATAATATCTTTTATAGACCATGATTGTATTTTACTTTTATATTATTATATAGGAATAGTAATAAACAAACAAATATAAAGTATAAGAAAGCAATCATTAGTTTTATAAAATCTTCCTATTAATTATTTTAAATTATCAGGAAATGGATTAGAATTCATTAAAATACATCTTAAATTAAAATAAATAAATTTTTATTCATGTAAATATATATTTTTATTAATATTTTTAATAAATTTAGTAATAAAATTTAAGTAAATGAATAAAGGCAAAAGACATTTCTTACAACAAAACAATAAATAAACGAATAATAATTTATTTTGATTTAAAGTAATAGCTCAAAAAAATTTTAAGCAATTCCATGGTCTCCACGGCAGAAATTACGAATACGACTTTTTTATTACAGATTTTTTTAAACTTTAATAGGTAAATCTTTAATTTTTCCTTTAAATGATAAAGACTTACTACGTTATATAAATTCATCAATGAAATGATATTTAAAAAATATCGATAAAATTCCTTATATCGATAAACGACAACAATTATAACTAGAATCGAAATTTTGTCACCAACTACAGGCATCGTGTAGGCCTATTGTGGTCCGAGCGTCATGGTAGTCAACCTACACTACAATTTCGGTGCTCCCAAGTTTAAACCTTATTGAGTACCACTCAACTTTTCCAATTTTAATTTGGCAATCAATTAATTATTTTGGGTTTTTTTTGCTCCCTATATAAAATGTATAGATTTTGCTAAAAAGTCTTTTGAAAAACCTATTTTTACTGCATACAGCGCCTTAAGTGCTTTCGCTTCGAATAATTTATCTTCGATAAGATTACGTTTAGTTTCATCGTAACGTCGAATCACCGGTGCTCGTCCAACATCGATTCGATGACAACTACGATGAATAGTTGAGATTTCACCGTTGTCGTGAAACGAACGTGTTTCGCGAGCGAGAGAGCGCACGTATGAGCGCGGCGGGCACTGACGGGGTTTGGGCGCGCGCAGAGGCGGACAGCACGGCGTGGATCGCGGGGGGCGCGGGGGCGCTGGCGGCGCTGCTGTGCTGCGCTGCGGCCGCGCTGCTGCTGCTGCGGCGGCGGGCGCGCCGCGCTGCGCCCGCGCCCGCCACGCCCGCGCCGCTCGCCTCGCGGCCCGTGCGCGTGGCCGACTTCGTGGACCACTACCGCCTCATGTCGGCCGACTCCGACTTCAGGTGGGTATCGCCCCGCGCCGCGCCCCACCCCGCCCCGCCCCCTCTCACGCGCCTCGCCCCCAGGTTCAGCGAGGAGTTCGAGGAGCTGAAGCACGTGGGCCGCGAGCAGCCCTGCACAGCGGCCGACCTGCCCTGCAACCGCCCCAAGAACCGCTTCACTAACATCCTGCCCTACGACCACTCGCGCTACAAGCTGCAGCCCGTCGACGACGAGGAGGGCTCCGACTACATCAACGCCAACTACGTGCCGGGCCACAACTCGCCCAGGGAGTTCATCGTGACGCAGGTGGGCCCTCGCTTTAGTGGGAGAGGGAGAGAGAGGGGCAGAGGGAGCTAACGGCGCCGCCCGCCGGCAGGGCCCGCTGCACTGCACGCGCGACGACTTCTGGCGCATGTGCTGGGAGTCGGGCTCGCGCGCCATCGTGATGCTGACGCGCTGCGTGGAGAAGGGCCGCGAGAAGTGCGACCGCTACTGGCCGTACGACACGCGGCCCGTGTACTACGGCGACATCGCGGTGACGGCGCTCAACGAGAGCCGCTACGCCGACTGGACGGTGACGGAGCTGGCCGTGTGCCGCGGCGCCGAGCAGCGCGTCGTGAAGCACTTCCACTTCACCACGTGGCCCGACTTCGGCGTGCCCGAGCCGCCCACGGCGCTGGCCCGCTTCGTGCGCGCCTTCCGCGAGCGCTGCCCGCCCGACAGCCGCCCCGTCATCGTGCACTGCAGCGCCGGCGTGGGCCGCTCCGGCACCTTCATCACGCTGGACCGCGCGCTGCAGCAGCTGGCCGCGCACGCCGACCACCTCGACATTTTCGGCATGGTGCACGCCATGCGCCGCGAGCGCGTCTGGATGGTGCAGACCGAGCAGCAGTACATCTGCATCCACCAGTGCATCGTGGCCGCGCTCGAGGGCCGCGACCTCTCGCCGCCCAACCACAACCACAACCACAACCACAACCACCACCACAACCCCGCCTTCGAAGGTAACCCGCGCACGAGCCTCTTCGACGACCCTACTCCTAATCGTAACCCCTCATGGTCCGTTGCAGATCTCTTAGTCGTCGAAATCTAATATATTGTCTTTGATGCGATGATCTCATAGAAATACACGTGAGGGCCCTTTAGCGTTGCACGCGTGCGAGGGAGACGGCCGAGCGGGCGCGGCGGGCCGAGGCGCGGCGTGGAGCCCACGTGAGCCCGAGTGCCGCATGCCCAGCCATGCCCAGCCATGCCCAGACATCGCTCCATGCCCACCCCTCTGCTCTTCTACTCATTCAAATAACTTTCAAACCGCCTCCTGCCTTGTCATAATGAAACGCATAGATCATCGTGTGATACTCTGTGTGCCCTAAACAATTCTCAACTAACTGATCACATTATTTCCCTAATATTATTATGTGTTAAGCCACTAATGCGCAGCGCTCTTGCACAGATGACGAGGGCATCGCCGAGTCGGGCATGTGAGGGGGCGCGCGGGCCGACGCCGCGCCGCCGCTCCGCCTGCGTCTCTGTATAAATGTACATTCAACCGAAGGACCAATCTTGTAAATTAGCTGTAAATAGAGATTAAGTGTCCCGACGGCGATTGGATCGCTCGTTGCTTTTCGTTCCATCGATCGACTAGGCCGCAGCAGTATACATTGCGGCCAATTATATACGTTTTTTATAATAAATTCAATCTTACGATTTCGATACTTACACTAAGCTCATCATAGCCTACGTGTAAATTGTAAGTCAAAGACTTATAATTAACACGTCTAATATTTTTGTACTATATACATTTTTAAGTTTTGACTTTTATTTAAGTTGATGAGTATTACGACATAAGGGTAAACGTTCGAATCTCAAAGTTGTACTTAACCATTCGCTAGTGCTTTATTTTAAACCGCGTTCACCGATTCATATATTTTTATTGAAGCTTTACATTGACCCGTAACGTTAAAGTTGAGCGTTATCATTTTTTACACTTACGTGATTTTAAAAGTTTCACGTTTACACGAATGCTCTGCTTTTTATACATCTGTTCCTTTTTTATTTTTAACCTTAACCTTCAATACAGACAAGTAATACCTACATTGAATTAGGATGTATTTACATTTTTAACGTACACAACGAAAGAAAAGTTAAATGTCAATACCAAACAGAATTTAAATAATTTGTAAGTTTATCCACCATATCCACCGCACTTAAACTAAACTTAAGTTACTATGAATTCAATATAATGCAGTTGGTTCATAAATCACTTACCATGTTTGAAAATAAGCTTCATGTGCAGCTCCTTTTATTCTTAATAATCTAAATGATTGATTTTAAACCAATAACGAAGCTGTGAAAAAGGATCTGCAACAATTTCAGCGTCGGCGTCGCAGGACAATATCCGTTTTGGACAAAAATACAAAAGAAATCTCGGAGACATGAGCTCCTTAAATATCTTTTGTGTTGTTAAAATCTGTTTACTCCTAAAAAAATTAACAAGTTGCTAATTTATACCGTCCAACAAGTGTATTATTTTTTATGATATTTTATATATTGAAATGAAATTCCAATATGAATTTATTTTTATTGTTATAACTGATTTTTTCCCATCACACACCAATTAAAAATTGGGAAAGGCGTTTAAAATGCCTTTTGTGTGATGTATATACATATTATTGTACTGTATCCAACTTAGGCAACAAAGCATTGTAACGAAATAAAGTTAATTTTATAATAACTGTGTTTGCAACTTTACTTCTTTTTCTTTAAAGATTTCAGGCTACTCAATTTTTTACTATAGATGTCATGGATAAAAAGTTAAAAAAATGTATATTAATGGATTGAAAATATGAAACTAACAAAATTTCGTCATTTTTTTTTTCAGTCAATACAAAATTCTAGGTCCTTAGTATCGCTAATCGAGACTTACTAATTAGAGTGATGCAATCTAGTCATTAACTCGGATCTGTCGCTAGCACCAAGACACAATGCGCGAACTGAAATCTTATGGTTATTTTAATTAACTGTGGTAGGGCCACGCAACAGTCTTCTCTGTTGCACTAATGGGCAGGTCAAACCGCTTAAGTACCACTACATCACAATACCGGCGTGAAGTGGAAGTGTTATACTACGGCGTTTCGTCTGGTGAGAGAGGTAGTCGGGGCCCACTTTATTATAAGGTGAACAACGCATTTCCAACAAAAATGCCACAGCATTGCGGCGGCGGTTATCCCTTAACATCATGGGAACCACCAGCTCGTGTGCTTTCTTCCTAACCTTCTCACATAAAAAAATGTAATAAGAATAGTAGAAGTTATTTAAGTAGTACAGTAGATCGTTAATAACTTAAACGAATAAATTGGTCATGGGCCTTCAAAAACTAAAAGTAAAGTTTTGACAACCGCTTTAACTTAAAGCATCCAAATATCAACTCGTTTTAAACTAGTATACAAAATGTTTCGTATGAGAATACTAGATAGACCCAATGGCACTAGATACTAGACCCACTGGCACTAGATACTGGACCCACTGGCACTAGATACTGGACCCACTGGCACTAGATACTGGACCCACTGGCACTAGATACTGGACCCACTGGCACTAGATACTGGACCCACTGGCACTAGATACTGGACCCACTGGCACTAGATACTGGACCCACTGGCACTAGATACTGGACCCACTGGCACTAGATACTGGACCCACTGGCACTAGATACTGGACCCACTGGCACTAGATACTGGACCCACTGGCACTAGATACTGGACCCACTGGCACTAGATACTGGACCCACTGGCACTAGATACTGGACCCACTGGCACTAGATACTAGACCCATTACGACAAAAACTATTCTTAGTGCTGTGACTACCAATAGTTGAGACTACGTATAACTTGTTGCTATAAAATTTGTGGTTACTCAATTTTATGTTACATGTAGCTCATAAAATTATTTAGCCGTCCATGATGAGTACTAATTCATTTCTTATAGACTCAGTGGTCTTCTAATTATCTATAGGGATAATGTAGTGGTTAAAGCGCCTGGACGCAACTCCGGAAAACGCAGGATTGATTCCCGCTATAGCGAAAATCTTTTAGTGCATGTTGTACTAATACGTTTAATTTTACGTGTACCCGATGAAATAATGGGATATAATGGTAAGATCATTCAATAAAATGGTCAGATCCATAAAAATATGTCTGCGATCCATCTGGTTTTATTGATGTCCATGGGCGGCGGTAATTTTTTTACTATTAAATGCCTCGCCAGTTTGCCAAAAGAAAATGTTAAAATCTGCAAAATTTTAGCAGGTTACTACTTCGGAAGGAATATAGGAAACAAAAAACAAAATTAAACGACAAACTAAAAAGTAAAATCACAAAAATACCGACACAGAGCACCCAGGGGCGACAACGCGAGTGTTCTGGCGAAGCGCATGAAAGAGTCAAAGATAATGAACTAATATATTTTTTAATATTTCTTATATTCCATTAATTCACTACTGATTTTTCTCAATCGCTTATTTTTTTTTTGTTTGTTATGATGAAGTACAAAAATTAAAAATTCCGACTCTGAGCTGGATAATAATTTAGATCAGATGTAATAATAGTGATCTAGAATAGATTATTTGTTATCGTTCGCGATTATAACGTTTGCACTGCTTTAGTATAATTAAGATATGCATCCAGGTAATCTTTGAAAATATCCTAGTATAAAAAAAATAAGTAAGGAATTTTAAGTTATTATGGCGATGATTGGCTCACTATGCAATGTAATAAATAAATTACGACATAATAGTTCTTTTTTATATAGTAACGTACTCCTTTGTAGTAAATGAAATAATGAGATTGCACAGTCGCAGTAAATTGCTAAGTAGTTAATTTATAATTCGCTAACATTCGAGCCCTGGATCAATATTTCTTTGTCAAACGATCTTTAAAAAGGGAAAAAATGTCTATGGCCTTCAACAAAATTGTCATGGTAAATGTCATAGTGTGAGTGTCAGGTGCGCATGAATGCTATAGACTATATAAATTACATTTTCAAGCAGTTGTGTGCGTGAAAAAGAGCTCGCTTGTCGCGTTGCGGTGCGTGAGCTTTCTACAATTTACTTTCATCGCCTCGTAAGTTGTGCATTTTATATATAATAGTGTATTAAGTGTCTGCATTAAATGCCGGAACTCTTAAATACTCAAAATTAAGCGTTGCATATTTGGAGCTCTGTTAGAATATGTTAAGATCATTCGATCGGATCGTGTCGATGCGTCACCTTTGTGAGCCATTTTACAAGTTCCTGTTATTCTAGAATCTGTATGCATCTCGTGTCTTACATGGTGTTCTTTCTCAATCTTGTGCAAAACCATAAATTCTGAATCATATTGTTCACTATAGCGCAAGTGAATATTGAGTGAATTCTAACCTCGCACGTAAGCAATAGAAGTAACGCTTTTGTAAATCACTACTCTCGGTACATTTCAAACTGCTATAATTTTTTGTATTCCCTTTGTTATTGCATTTAAAACTATATGTTTTCTATGTAGATACATTAACATCAACTCTAATAATGCAAATATGAATCGAGGTTACATATGTCAGTAGTTTTGTAAAAATTATTAAACCAGAATTGGCAACGAATTGCTACTGATTATCCATGTTTAGTTTCTTTTTATTCAGTTACAATTCCAAAAAATTAGTCTGAAGAAATATTTTTATCCTTTAACTTTATATATTATCTCTTTTCTATGTACTTTGCAAAGTATGTTCTTTGTTTAAAATGAAAAAAAAGTCTGGTAGCTTTTAGATATTTTAAGATATGTATAATTTTTGACGTATCATGAACACAAAGAACACAAAAACTTCTGTGCATTAAATAGATAAAAACAAGTTTAATTTTTGTAAACAATGAATTATTAGTTATGTATGTATAGATATGCAATAATTACTACTAACAGGAATGTGCATAAATAATGGTTTGGAAGAATATACTTTGATATATTTTTTAAATCATTAATGAATTGCATTATTATGTAACATTTATTTTGCCGCCCAATACTCTTTTTTGCCTTTCATTATTCTTTACATAGTGCACTGTCCTATTTTCAATACTATTGAAATGTAGCTTACTAAAGTATGAAAATTCTATTGTAGGAGATACTTTGTTTCTAGAAAATGAAGAATAAATTTTGTACAATGTGATTTCTAGCATTTAAGTGAGTACTGCATATAAGGTGAAATAAAACTGTGAGTTTATTAAAGGAAAATCCTCAGTAGCAGTTTAATTTACCAACATGTTGATTTTTTAATTTTCTATCATTTTTTCTATTCATATATGCATTAAAAACTTGTATAAGGTAAATGCAATTTATTAACTTGAACAAACTTTATTTTTTCTCAATAAAGTTGATAAAGTCCTTCATAATCATAGGAGAAAGTATTGAAGAATTGGAACATCAGTAAAAGTATTGACATTTTTCGCTGCGTCGATATTAGGCAGATGGGAGGTTGGTTTGTAGGTCAGGCCGGCGGCGGGCCTCCGCCGCGCAGGGATCTGGGTCAATGGTAGCGGAGCGCACCACGGCCGTGCAACTGGGTCGCGTAACCCCGCACTCCTCTAACACCCCCCCCCCCCCCCCCCCCGCCCCGATAATGGCCTCTGCCAATAATGGCCGCACTCCACACCCTCGCACCCCTTCCCGCGCGGGCTGTCTCGCTTCACTCGCGGCCTGTCCTTCCGCAACAGCAGCAACAACGGCCACTGCCACAAAGCATGAGGGTGCCATATGTGCCATGCCGGAGGTCGCGAGCGAGGGTGACCGGTCCCCGACGACCTTGGGCCGCGAGGTTGTCGACCGCGCGACTAGTCTGTCGCCCCGAGATAATAATGCTAGCCAATTTATTTTTGCGCTCAAACGACAACCTGTTTACTATATAGATAGTGCTTATTTAATAAGTACTAATGTTGCGAGAATGAGACCTAAGTAGAATGCAAGCAAGCATGCGTGATGGACGTCTTAATAATTATGTTGAAAGATTTTTTATAAATCTTGCAGCTTATATCACTGAAGAAAAAAAAACATATTTAAGACTGTTTTCGGCTTGACCTACAGCTTATGTAACTCGATTAAAATTAATCCACTAATTAAAGAACTGAATATTGTAATTTTTTCTTTATGCGAAAAGTTGCCAAACGAGCAGACGGGTCACTTGTTGTTAAGTGAATACCGCCGCGCCGCCCATGAACATCTGCTACACCCGAGGGTTACAGAGGCGTTGACAACCTTTTGAAAATTGGGCTCCGGCAACCTCACTCACCAGACGAAAAGCGAAAGTATTTGTCATACTTCCACTTTACGCTAGTCTTCTGTGTGATCGTGGTACTTACCCGGACGGGCCTGCCCATTCGTGCAACAGCCGAGGCTGCTGCGTGGCTCTACCACCATAGGATTCACTAGCAATCTCGTGTCGTTAAGCTTAGCATTTTATATAATTTATGTTCGATATATAATTATAACTTACCATTAGTTACGCTGGCTCAAAAACTCGAAAGTTACATTGCGTCATCTATGTGTACAGAAATTTATACATTTTTGTGCACAGCTGCAGCATTTGTAATTGTAAGCTTTATTTGTGGAATTAACCATGTTCTAGAAAATGCATAGGCTTGTTTTTAAAAAAAAATGCGAGGAGCCGTGTGCCGCTGCACGTTCTGAGGACTGAAACGGGCCTCGCCAGGTGGCGGTAGGCGGCAAACCCGTTCGGCCCTCCGCCGCCACCGCCACGGCGCACCGTCCAATCATGGCGCGCATTGTTATTTTTTATATACTTTCCCATTCCGCGGCTCAGCTCTATATTTGCTACATTATTATCCCGTGGGACAAAGTGGCGCATGCCCGTGTAGTCACCTATCGGAGGTCATATCAACAAAACATCGGATGTTCGTATGAATTCTGCTCTCGGCTGCACACTTCGGAGTCAAAAGGGATGACGAGCCATTGAGAGCCAGTGCAATATCTGTAAAGGGAATTCTATTTAATAATGTCATTGCCCTAACTTAAGTAATAGAAGAGTGCGACGAGGATAATGGCGTTTGTTAGCCCAGCAGCTGCAGCTGCTTTAACCTTTCTTTAATACCATCTCAATTATCGGCGCATCTTGTGTACTAAGCGAAGAGTATGATGCCGACTACTGCACCGAGGCATGCCCGCTCCGTTGTCTCGTAATCTCTCGCATTATAAAATTTACCCAACTCGTAAAAAATCATTTAGTTTTTCGCATCGTAGTAAAAACTCGTATAAATTATTTAAATCTATTCAACTTTTGTAGAAAATATACTTTATATTTGTATGTCGTAAATATATCAGTATAGGGTTATAAAGCATGGTTGGAAACCCTAGAAATGTTTATACCAATACGACAACCATTTTATATTATATATTTTTACTAGCTGACCCGGCAAACGTTTTTTTGACATATAAATTATTTGTAGGGTAGAACAAAATGTTTGGGGTGGACCATCCTTAACATTTAGGGGGATGAAAAATAGACATTGTCCGCTTCTCCACCCTGGCCGATATGCACACAAAATTTCACGAAAATCGGTCGAGCCGTTTCGGAAGAGTTCAATTACAAATACCGTGACAGGAGAATTTTATATATTCGATATTCCTTGGTAACTCCAAGTTTCTCTAATTTGATGCAGCAATAATTATGTATTCATAAAATATTAATTGATTGCGAAAACAAGAAAAGTTCATATTATTTTTTTTCGCAAATCATACGCGGCTAACATTCAATTGTGATAACGAGGTTTGTTGCTTATAGCTTTAAGTCTTATCGCTCATCATTGAAAAGATATTAACAGAGGTCAGGAGACGACGAAAGTGACTGGCGGTCGAAGAAAAATACCGTATCGATTTTTATCAGACTCTAATTCCATAAGTTGCTTCGTTTTTATTTCCGCTTTTAAAATGCTACAGTATCTCTTTTATTACGGACTTTATTATTTATTTATTTAGACACACCAATGAGTTGTTCATAATAATTGATGATAGAGTAAATAATGGATACAGTATTTGGTAAATGGATTACGCATTTGCAGGTATATACAACAGTCGTGGAAAAACTAAGCATATTGAACTGGCGTGAAACAGCTTATATTGAGGTTACATTGTTATCAATTACATTAATTCCAAAATTAGTAATAAACATAAAACTAAAAAGAAAATTGGAAATCGTGCGTGTGAAAGGGCTTTGTGTAAATAGCGTTCGAAATGCAAAGGTTAAACAAAATATGTCGAGGTTTGGGTTTTTTGTACTGAGCGTTTTAGGAATATAACATCCGGTTCAATGGCGAGCCTACGTTAGTTCGCCTTTTCCAAGGTGTGAATATTTTACAAGTTGTGATAGTATAATTCGATCGCGATATAATTTTAAATTTTATAACTTTATCCATAATTAGTATTAAACCTGTTAATTTCTGACGTATGTACGAACAATGGGTCCATACTGAAACAGTTAAATATGAAAGCAATTGAATTGTTTCGCTGTCTTATCCCTACGCCACTCGGCGTCGCGCTTAAGGGGCGAGTACGAGGGCGAGGGCGAGGGCTGTAACTGTCCGTGGTGCCCGTCTCGGTGTCCGTAGTGGCGCGTCCCTTGCACCGGCGCCGCCGCGCGCCCGAAATCTGGTCGCGGCGGGGTCGACGACCGCCCGTCGGGGGATGCGTCGGTCGCTAACCCCGCGCCCCGCCGCCTCGCACCGCACCGCACCGCACCGCGCCGCAAGCCCACCTTTGCAATTGTGTCCACAATGATGATACGCGCCGCAATGTTAATAACCCCGCAAAATCCGACTTATTTTCCATGTTACAACTAATGATGTATTGCTAAAAACGTCAGTTTTGCATAGAACTCGTGGTTTGTCTCGTGGTCCGCGCCCTAGCTGCGTTGGCGCCAAGGTGGCCCGGCGCGTAGGCGGCGACCTCTAGGAGGGCCCGCAGCCCCCGGGACAGAGGCGCCGCCAGCCAACACGACGCGAGTGTAACGAACTCCCCTGCTTCACCGTAAAGCCATTTGACGAGGGTAGGGCGGGTCGACGACCGTCGATGCTCACTCCAAGATCCCTTCGTTTGAGCGATGATTCGTTGCATAACTATTTGCTTCGATAACTTTTTTCATAACTTTTTTTTTAAAAAATAATGCGATTAAAAAAAAAGTATCGCTACGTTAATGTGGATTTATGGGTGAAGTACATTTACTTTGTTATATTAATACCTTCCAAATAAAGTTTTACCGCAACCATTACCTATACATATTTATGTACATCGATGCATAAGAATTTCAAATAAATTAAATACTTCGTGAAAAGAGAATTATCGTGTTGTGTGCCGTTTAGCGAACATTCATAATTATTATTTATTTTTCTATGCGATAGTTTAACATTATTAATTTTACATCGCCCATCCAATACGTGAACGTTTCTTCTGCCAAATGCTAGGGATAATTTCATCTTGTTTGTGTTCATCTTTACCATTTGCAATACATAGCAAATTCCTGAATAGTTCTGAACAATCGAGCGGCGCAAGAGAACGTTGCTAATGCGTTGTACCTGCGCCAAGCGATTGCCGAGATTTCCGCTTAGAAACGTCGCCGACCTTGGTGCGGTTAGAACATTCTTCCGCGGCGGCTTCATTCATTCATTCGAATAATATACAAATGAAACAGTGTTACCGATGTCCATGGTCTAGATTATCCTAAAACTTGATTGAACCACAATTTTGGGGAAAATAACATCACTATTCCCCACAATTTTTTTATAAATTAATGAAATGTTCATATAAATCAGAGCCGTGATACGTGGGGCGCTCGCCTTTAATTCACTATACTCGAGCAACCTAGTTCGATCCCCGGTGCACCCGGGGCACCAATGAGACTATTAATTGTTAGTGCTGACTTATGCTTTTAGCTCAGTGGTGAAGGAAAACGGCCGCACGGTACACTGTGATATACCCTGATGACAATATTTTAAATGGGTCATACATAGGGTTGGGCAAAGGCCCTTGCCCAACCGACATGAACAGGCTGTGACTTTACTTTTTTACAATTCCATATAAATAAAACATATTTATATATAGAAATCATATATCAAGAAACGTTACATAATGATTTTAATCTCTTTTTGCAGCTGTTAATTATGCCAATATTTTTCAATATTTTTGAAGGATCAAAATTTAAGCTCCCTTCTTTCTTCTTAATACCTACTCCAGCGGCCTTAAACCCTACAAGCTACAGTTTCAGTGTGTTTCCAAATTCCTTAGAGCGCCAAATTCTCTTTCGACAGAAGCCTTTGAGAAAGCAAGAAAATTTCATGATCTGCTTTTGAAGACGGAACACTTTAGCCCAGTTTTTTCCGGATTCGATTCGCCATTGCCTTACAAACAAGAGCATATTAATCCAGCATCGCGTGAGTCCGACATTCGTCATCTAGCTTTTGAGATTGATTGATGATTGATATCTATCAATCGATCGACTCTCGTAATTTTGCAACTAAGCTAATAAACAATCCAAACAAGCTACGTACACTAAATAACGGCGTTCCTGTACACGGACTTTTGTTGTTCTGTGTTACAGAACAGCAAAGACTTTTGCGTGGCTCTGCGACAGTACCGAATGATTAAGCAGGAGCGGAGGCGGCCGCGGAGTAATCGGCGAGTCGGCGAGTCGGCTCGGCGCGGGCGAGGCGTGGGGTGTGGGCTAGCGCGGTGCACACCGGCCGCAAGACGGAGAGCGCGCGGCAGCCGGGGCCCGTGCTGCGCGCCGCGGGGCGGACGCCCGTCCCCCCGAGGCGGCGCTGGGTCCCGCCCTCCTCGCTGCGGCACCACGAGGTGCCCGACGGCGATGCCAAGCACGACATCATCTTCCGCAAGGTGCGTGCGCCCCGCCCCGCCCCCCCCCCCCACACTCACACGACTAGACGGCGATCTCACGCGGGCGGACCGGAACTGATTGCAGGTGCGCGGCATACTCAACAAACTCACTCCGGAGAAATTCCAAAAGCTTAGCGATGACCTGCTGGGGCTCGAGCTCGACTCGGACAAAGTGCTCAAGGGCGTGATCCTGCTGATCTTCGAGAAAGCGCTGGACGAGCCCAAGTATTCGTCCATGTACGCGCAGCTGTGCAAGCGGCTCAGCGAGGAGGCGCCCAACTTCGAGCCCCCGGGCCAGCCCTGCACCTTCAAGCTGCTGCTGCTCAACAAGTGCCGCACGGAGTTCGAGAACCGCGCACAGGTACATCCCAGCGCTTCGTTTCGCATTCGTTATTATGTTGTTGTACAAATATTTTACGTAACTGTATCTATCATGTGCCCACGACTGGTACGTTATAGGTACCCATGCATAATAGTCGGGACAATACATTGGATTTAAAAAGTCCGGACAAAGTTAAACTCGTCGGTTCACACTACTGAGTTTCTAGACCGTCGCTTTTTATAACAGACTCGAGGTCTCACTCATTAAACTAACCCTAAATAATACTAAAAGTAATGCATATGCATATGCATTACTTTTAGTATACCAAGTAATAAGTCTGTGTTTCGTAACGATTGTAGGCGTTTGCGGCTTTCGAGGACAAAGTGCTGACTGCCGAAGAGGAGGAGAAGCGGCACCTGGCCAAGTGCAAGATGCTCGGCAACATAAAGTTCATCGGCGAGCTCGGCAAGCTGGAGATCCTGGCGGAGTCGATCTTGCACCGCTGCATCCAGAATTTGCTGGCGCGGCGCGCGGCCGCCGAGCACCACGAGGACCTGGAGTGCCTGGCGCAGCTGGTGCGCACCTGCGGCCGCGTGCTCGACTCGGAGCGCGGCCGCGGCCTCATGGACCAGTACTTCGCGCGCATCGAGACGCTGTCGGCGTCGCGCGAGCTGGCGCCGCGCATCCGCTTCATGCTGCGCGACGTGGCCGAGCTGCGGCGCGGCGGCTGGCTGCCGCGCGCCGCCGTGTCGGCCGAGGGGCCCGTGCCCATCCACCAGCTGCGGCCGGACGACGAGCCGCCGCGGCGCGAGCGCGAGCGCGACCGCGACCGCGAGCGCGAGCCGCTCTTCCGCGGCGGGCTGCGCGCGCGCCCGCTCGACGACGTGCTGGCCGGCCTCAGCCTGCAGCCCGCCGCGCCCCTCGGGCCCGACAAGCTCTTCGGCAACGGCTTCGGCGGCCGCGACTTCCGCCAGCGCTCGGCGCCCGGCTACTACCCGCGCCCGCACCAGCACCAGCACCAGCACTACGGCAAGCACCACAACGCGCAGCCGCAGAGCGCCGCCAAGGAGGGCGGCGGGCGTGCGGGTGGCGGCGGCGGCGGCGGCGGCGGGGGGGGCAAGGCGCGCGCCGCGGCCGGCTCGCTGGGCGCGCTGGCCGACGTGCAGATGCGGCCGGCCGCCAACTCGCTCATGTTCACGGCCAACCGCCTCTCGCGCCCCGCGCACCACCACCAGCCGCTGGCGCCCGTGCAGCAGAGTGCGTACCGAACACGCCGCGCCCCGCTCGATGATCTCCGCAGCCCCTCTAATCGTGCTTCTTCCACAGACGTGCTGACGCCGACGTTCGCGAGCACGCCGCTGCTGCTCAAGGAGCCCGCCATCACCATCAAACCGGCGCTCGATAAAAAGGATAAACCGAAGAAAGACAAGGTACACGATCATTGCGATTTTTTTTTGAAGGCTTAATTGGACAAAAATTGCTCGTTCAAAGTATAAAAAAAAAATATGGATAAAATAAAATATTACCTTCGTTTTCATATTCTCTTATTCAACAATATGAAATAGTCCCAAATAAAGAGATGCATAGTGATACAAGATACGACCATAAACGTCGCAGGGGCTGAGCAAAGAGGAGGCCTGCCGCCTGGGCGTGGAGGCGGCCACCGAGGCGGCGGCGGCGGCGCTGGCGCAGCCCGAGGCCGAGCCCGAGCCCGACGACGACGACGCGCGCGCGCCGCACCTGCAGCGCCTGCGCGAGCTGCAGCTGCCCGACAAGGTGCTGCGGCGCGTCATCGCCGCCGTGCTGGAGCACGCGCTCAGCGCCCAGCTGGGCGGCGCCGAGGGCGGCGGCGGCGGGGCGGGCGAGGGCGAGGGCGGCGGCGGCGGCGGCGGCGGGGGCGCGGCCGAGGCGTGCGCGCTGGCGGCGGCCGCGTGCCGCGTGGTGCGCGCCGTGAAGCGCGCCGCGGTGGGCGAGGCGCTGCGCGCGCTGGTGCACGCGCACCACCCGCACGCGCGGCTGCCCGCGCTGCTGGCGCACGCCGTGCTGCAGAAGCTCGTCAGCCTGGCAGAGGTGGGCGCCTGGTGCGAGGGCGGCCAGCACTACCCGCTGCTGCTGGAGGTGCTGCAGCAGCTACAGGCGCGCGTCGGCCCCGACCGCCTGCACCAGCTCTACAACGAGAGCAAGGTGCGCATACCCCACCGCTTTGCTTTATGTTCAGAGTTAGTGCTGACTTATCACATGCTCAGCAGTGAAGAATCGAATTGAAACATCTAAGAATAATGTGAAAAGTTGCCAAGCGAGCAGGCTGTCCACCTGATGTTAAGTGAATACCGCGGTCCATGGACATCGGCTACACCCGAGACTTGTAGATGCATTGACGACACTCACTAGACGAAACGCGAAAGTATTGTAATTCCACTTCAAGTCGGTCTTCTGTGAGGTCGTGGTACTTACCCTGATGAGCCTACCCATCCGTGTAACAGCGGAGGATACTGCGTGACCCTACCACAGTGTAATAAAAAAAAATTAAAATATTTCGAATATACATATGTGAAATCCGCCACTCCGCCGTGTGGTGGACTATGACCTATAACTCTCCATACAGAGTAGGCCTTTGGCCAGCAGTAGGACATGTATAGGCTTAGTACTTTAGTGGCATCTGTTTATCCAAAGTTTCTTGAATTAACCTCTGGTTTATCGGAACGTAGATCTGCGCGCCAAATTGTGCTTCCTTTGACTGTCGGAACGTAGATCTACGCCAGATCGTTTATGATTAATAGTGAGCTATTTGCTGACTAGATAGAGTTAATTTTCCCGTGAAACTCGATCGAGAAATTAGAGAAGGAATGAATGAACCGTACTTTGATAGCTAAAAGAATTATTACTGGTAAAAACCTAATTATTCTTTCACAACTATTTCGAATATCTCCATGTTTTCATTTATATATTTGAATTACCGTTTTTTATGAAACGAATATCGAAAACGGTAAGTATTTTTTCTTTTCTTATTATTTAGTACATAAAACAATGATAACGTTTCGAAAAATGCAATATTACTAAGAATTTAACGATAAACGAAGAACATAAAATGTATGTATCTCTGTTTCATTTTCGACTACTGATATTTCGTAGTTTGAATTACACATTCTAATTATCTTACACATCATTTTGATCTAACAGAAATTTCATTCGTGTCAAATTGTAACGTATAAAGACTCGGAAATATAGGATGTTCATAAAAGTAATTTTTTAATATTTCAAACTATTAAAATTCTCTGGTTGAACATTACATTTTTTTAATTGATTTGAAATTACTTCATCGCTATAAAATTTAAAGATAAGGTAGAGTACCTACATTTTATCAACTTAGTTTTAATTTACCTATTTTAATGAAAATGGACAAAAATATATTATTGGAAGATAGAAGGGTAGCACACTGCAACGGTCTATAAAAGGAACAGCGCTAGCCATTTTCGGGGCCAATCCGTTAGTTATAGGTGCCGTCACCTACAGACCCTTACCGCTAGGTACGTTCCGTCGCAAATGGCGCAGACCACGTCACATCCTCGATTTCCCTGACGATGAGACGACTATTGCCATCGACAGGATAAGACAATTACGCAAACACACCAGATTACACCATGGTTTTCCCCCGTTAATGGTAGAAGCGTCGCTGGAATTTCTTCCGCCACTTCTTCTCCCAGCGCCAACGCTTTCCAAAGTCGTAGTAATGTTAGACCTAGAAATTCTTCCAGTCAGATAATAGCTACCCATTGAGATCGGAATGCTAAACGGGTATTGAGTAACAGCCTAAGCTGAGATCCCCTCTCGGGGGCCCTTGAGCCTAGTCACTCCATGGAGCGTCCACCAAAGCACGCTAAGAGCTTGGTGGCCTCCCAAACCGGTAATGATAATAATAGCGTGATGGCCTGAGCCGAGGCTCTCTCGGAAGCCCTCTAGCTTAGTCACCAAAAGGCAAAACCGAGGTTCAGGCTAGGCGCCCCGAGCGTGCGACTCAGGTCCTCACGGGACATGGGTGTTTTGGGAGGTATCTGTTTCGCATGGCAAGGAGGGATGGCCCACCGCGGAATGCAACCATTGTGACGTATGTGCCGAGGAGACAGCCCAAAACGCGCTGAAAGAGTGCCCAGCCTGGACGGAGCAGCGCCGAGAGCTGTGCGCTATCGTGGGGCACGACCTCTCGCTGCCATCCGTGTTTCGCGCTATGGTTGATAGCGAGAGGAATGGGGTGCTTTCCTCGCATACTGCGAGAACATTATCACCCGAAAGGAGGCCGCGGAGAGGGAAAGGGACGCAACACCCATCCTAGATATTAACCGCCGTTGACTAGGGCGCAGGAAGCTGGCCTACGCGCGCTACCTTCCCCCCTGATAGTGAGACCCTAAGCGACAGGCATGGGGGTGTCTGTCGCTCAATATGGGGCTCGTGACGTGTGCGTACCAATTGCACGGGCACAGCACTATGTAGTAGAGAGGAGGCCTAAAAAGGCTATAGTCGCGCCGGGGTCGCGGAAGATTACGTCCACGTGTTCCCGTGTCCCCGGCCGAAGCGACGGAGACAGGTGCAACGCGGGTTTTTTAATGGTTACCCGTTCTTATTGGGACTCTCACATACCCCTCCCACTCCCCCGATCAAGTGGCAGGGGATACATAAAAAAGGCACCTCGAGCGCCCTGCCACCTCAAGTCCGGCGGATCTGTAAAGGCCCCCTACAGCGTGCGGAAGCTCTACACGAATTTATAACAATCGTGTCGGTTACTTAGAACTGTAATTAAACTCTACGTAGTTTGGCTTACTGGCCGCTTAGTTCTTTTCAACCCACTTCAAAAAATAAGGAGGTTCTCAATTCGACTGTATTTTTTTTATGTTTGTTACCTCAGAACTCTGAGGAGTAGGAGAGAAAAACATAAATGTACTAAGTGGCCATCACGCCTGCAGAATTTAATTGATCTACCCACAGCATCGCTTGATGCAGCTGGAGCTTCGAGAAAGTAGCAACCCGATCCGTAGCTGTAGTCTCACCTTTATGCCTCCCAGAACAGCACCATTTCCCACAACCCTAACGACCGCAAGCGTGACAAGTAACCTTGCCATCATCCGCCTCAGGCGCCAAGCCACCAAACTCTTAGGGCGCTTTGGTGGACGCTCCATGGAGTGACTAGGCTCAAGGGCCCTCGAGAGGGGATCTCAGCTTGGGCTGTCACTCAATACCCGTTTAGCATTCCGATTCGAGGGTGCCGAAGAAGGCTAGATCTCGGCTCAATCGGTAGCTATTATCTGACTGGAAGAATTTCTAAGTCTAACATGACTACCATTCCGGAAAGCGTTGGCGCTGGGAGAAGTGGCGGAAGAAACTCCAACGACGCTTCTACTCGCTGGCGAATGCGGTGTGATCTGGTGTGTTTGCGTTATTGTTCTATCCTTTCGATGGCAATAGTCGTCTCATCTTCATGGTCTACGCCATGTAGATGACGCCACCTACTGCTAAAGGATTGGCCTCGAACACGGCTAGCGCCGTGCCTTTTATAGACCGTTGCAGTGTGAAATTTAAATTGTATGCTGTAAAGGATATAAGAATAAATGCACCAAGCTATGCTTGGAATGCGAAAAAACAATGTAGGTTTTTTTAGTTGATCCTGTGTAGTAAGGACGTTTTACAAACATAAATTTGATGCGGACAAACACCCAGATGCGAAACAACTATCTGTGGGTCACACAAATAGTTGTCCCATTGGGAATCGAACCCACGACCCCCAACGCTGAAGCCAATATCTTGGCACGGAGTCATTAAATAAAATCTTTTTTGCTACAAATTTTATTGTTTCGTCTTAAGTGCCTAGAATAGCACAATAAAAAATTGCTTTGAATTTTTTTTTATTGGAAGTAGGAAAGGAACTTACTTGAAAATTGAAACATCCTGTGTAGTCAGTGTCGGAACGTAGATCTGTGTTCAGACTGTTGTGTCGGAACGTAGATCTGCGCTACTGACGCAACAATAAATTATGATATTTATACTAAAATTTCTTAAGTTTTATCAAAGAAAAACACATTTTATTTATATTTATTCAAAACAACATGTATTCTGTTTTCATAACATGGAAATAAAAAAACTAAAACGTTTATCATGAATTACTTATTGATATTTTTCTTTAGGATGTTGTATTTATTGATAGCTTATAGTAAGAATTGCTTCTAGTAAACAAAACAAACATTCTCCAAAGGCAAAAAGATAATAAGTGTAAAGTTAAGCCATCCATATAGCTTTAAAATAAACCTGAATCATATAGATTATGGTTTTCACTACAAATATTGTTCCGAAGAAAGACGCAGTTGCAAAATTGCGCTACTGTTTTTCACCGACAGACAGCGCATTTTTCATAGTGCGCTAACCGACAGACCAAGGTTTAATGGTCAATTTATATCCAGTCTCATACAAAAAATGAAACACCTTCTTTATACTCATGTTTCGTAAAAATATTGTATAGTCGTCAAATGATATTTTTAAAAATATTATCACAACTTTAAAAAGTAAAGCCAGTCCCTGAGTGTCATCAACTTACCAGGGAGTGGTGCAGTTGGAAAAAGAGTAATACTCATTCAGCTATAGTTACGGTTTATGTATTATATTATCAAACTAGCTGTGCCCGCGACTTCGTCCGCGTGGAATTTAAAATTGAAAAAATTCTAAAATAAAAGTAGCCTTAGTTACTCCTTTTTACATCTGCTATCTGCCAGTGAAAGTCCCGTCCAAATCACTTTCAGAGATTAGCCGGAACAAACAGACAGACAGACAAAAATTGCAAGAAATATTATTTTGGTATATGAACTGTGTATACATCCATAATGCATAAATATTACAAATATTACATATAAATAAATATTACAGTGTCTGTTTTATTGAAATATTACAAACAGACACTCCAATTTTATTTATCTGTATAGACTAGCTGGCCCGCGCAACTTCGTCTGCGCCAGATCTACCGGGTCCATACGTTTTGGACTTTTAGCATAGCGCCATCTGTTTGATACTTACTCAATCCAGTTAAATTTACCTACACTGCTATCTGTTAGAATCTTATAGAACTCACACATAACACTTTGTCATTTAATAAACAAATAATTTGTAATAAAATATGTTTCAAGTTGGATCAAACTGTACACTGTGTGCAAATTTCATTAGATTGATTAATTAGTTTAAGAGTGCATCGCTGACAAACAATTTCACACTTAATTTATCATCACTACATATACTATGTAAACAAAGTCCCGCTGTCTGTCTGTCCCTTTATATGTGCTTAGAGATCTTTAAAACTACGCAACGGATTTTGATGGAGTTTTATTTAATGGATAATATGTATAATTTATGCATAATACAGTAAAGAAACTCTGATAATTTTAGACTTTTATAATGTGACGTCGAAAACAAACATTCACGGTGCCTGTGCGGGGGGTAGCTGATATGTATTAAGAAGATATTAATGAAGTTTTTCAGTTTAATTTATACGCTTCCATTTACAATCGAAACTACAATATGAAAATTTATTGATCAATCGGCACAGCAACAAAAATAAAATGTATTTTACATAAACCGTGTATTTTATGTTAGTAAGTATTTGATATTTTTGAGTAGTGTCAGTACTTGTTTTCGAGCAGATCAACCTGTGCGCGTACGTGTCGGAGCGGTGCGGCGGCGCGGCGGGCGCGCTGGACGCGCTGGAGGCGCGCGGGCTGGCGGCGCTGGTGCCGCAGCTGCGGGTGCGCGCGCAGCTGGCGCGCCAGCTGGCCAGCGAGCCGGCGCCGCTCGCGCTCTACCGCTGGATCAAGGTGAGGCCGGTGGGCGGCGGTCCTTCCCTCCTCCCTCCGATGCGTCTCTAATGCGCGACTGCGCAGGCCAACGTGGAGCCGGCGGTGCGGCACAACGGCGCGTTCGTGTCCACGCTGGTGGCGCTGGTGGCGGGGCACGTGACGGCGGCGGCGGGCGCGGCGGGCGCGGCGGGCGGCGCCGACAAGGCGGCGCTGGAGCGCGAGAAGGCGCTGGCCGAGGCGTACGCGCCGCTGCTCACGGCGCTGCTCGAGGGCCGCCCCGACCTGCAGCTGGCCGCCGTCTACGCCGTGCAGGTGCACGCGCACGCGCACCGCTACCCCAAGGGTACTCACTGCTCCGCTCTACTCTGTCCCACTCCGATAGCGCCGGCCTCTCATTGCTGGGGCTAACTCTATATAAAAGATAATATAATCTAATACCTTTAAACGAGCAACTATATAATCGGAATCTCGGAAACGGCTCCATGATTTTCATGAATTTTTATTCCAGGATTTTTATTCTGTAATTAAAACACTAGAATATCGATTCATAGCTTCTATTAAACAAATATATTTAAAAATCTGAATACATCATGTAATTAAAAAAGTAATCATTTTTAATTTAAACTAAAAAAATATATTATTTTCTTCATAGATGAACATCACTTATTAATAATAATGTAATAAATATTTCTGACACTTTTTACAAAATAGTCCGGGGTCCCAGGCCCATTTTCACCTTTTATTAACAAGCAGATTTTTGACGGAATTTACGGTAACCGGGGTGACTATGACATCAAGACATAACAACTTAGTCTGTCCCGTGACCATGAACGCTGGAAAGGTTTCGAAACCTCAGGAGTCGAAATCAAAAAAGCGCGATAAAATCCTTACACTAGTTGCATTTAATACAAAAACACAGATGTTAATTATTGTTAATGATAAATTTACTTTTCTTGCCTTTCCGTATTTATTGTTTTCAGCGCCATCTTTAATTGTTTTTGGTTAGCATTTAAGCAGATATTATCCGAGACTTGTTTTAAAGAACAATGAAAACATTCGCCTTTTGTGCAAAAGATTGCGCGTTTGGTTGCATGCTTTAAAACGCATTTCTGTCTCTGTAGTTGCAACCCTTCCATTTTGAGTCTTCAGAGTATCGCATAGTTGTTGACTAAATGAACTATTATTCATTCAGTGTTTTTATCCATTTCGTTTCGGTTGTTTTTCTTGGCGCAAGTTATTGTCTTTTTACTTTACTTTAAAAAAATGTAAACATATACATGTGAGACCTGTGCTGACGAAATATGTGTATAAATATGTATAAACTAAGTCGTTTTCAGGTCTTCTTTAAATTAAAAAATGTTTTTTGTTTCACTAAATATGTTTTTACAATAAAATATAAAATAAAAGCAATCAGAATTATTAAAGTATTAATTTAGTTTAGGAATACATCCAATTATTTAAAAATTGAAATCTAAACTTAATGTCTGGTACCTAGACGATGGTACGTTAGGAGTTAAAGTTGGCGATGTACAAAGTGATCTTATCGAAGTTATTAGACAATTTTAAAATATCGGTCTCGAATTAAATAAATCCAAATGTGAACTTTTCTTTTTTGAAAAGATTTCTTTTTCCGACAAAAATAAAATTTTAGCTCTATCGTAGGGGTTGTCCATTAAACACGCGAGCCTCGAAAGTCGGGGCAGAGGTTTGGCAAAAATCACGAAATATCATAGGGCTAGTAACATATCACATCTGTTTATTTTTTCGTCAAACGCACTACGTCTAAACCGAAAAGCAGTGTGTAGTCTGACCTTGACACGCCGTTACATTTTTATCTATGGTTCTTAATTACAGAATATGATTAAATTATACTCTAAACGTGCATTTAAAGATAAAATTCAAAAAAATTTAAGATTCTTTGTAGGTATTAAAAATACACGTGATTTTGCTTGGGGGGTGGGGGATAATCTAAACCTCAACACGAATCACCAATCACGTGATTTTAATGGATGGCCCCATACCAGGAATTAATGTAGTCCTTTCAAATTCACTTACCACTTAGGTGCTCCATTGTTAATACCTCTTTTAAAATCACAACCCAGAACTTTTTCTATAGAAATTTATTTACATTGGCTTTGAGCTTTACAATCAAGTAACTTGGGCACATTACTTGACGATGAAAGCTTAGTCATTGCTATAGGAATCCGTCTGGGGGCACCGATTTATCAACCACACCAATGCCTTTGTGGTGTCAGTGTAGACAAATTTGGTCTCCACAGGCTTTCTTATCAAAAAAGTGCTATAAGTCAATGTTCCATCTATTTTAGAGCCCTGTGGCATTTTTCGCGACGATGGTACTCGTAAGAGGTTATTATAAGGCCTCACAGTATTTCATAGTGAGAAGACTATTGTGTATACTAATACCTTATCACCTGCCCAGTTGTGCTTATATAAGTTTCTTTGCTTAAGCCATATTCCAATATACATCTTGTTTATTGAGGAGTAGCATTATTATATTCCTTACTGTTACATGTATTTCAATGCAAAGTGTTTGTTTGAATATACCTTGTTTTGTGTCCAGGAATGCTCCTCCGTTGGTTCATGTACCTGTACAACCTGGAGGTGTGTGAGGAGGAGGCGTTTTTGCGTTGGCGTGAGGACGTCACCGATGCCTATCCTGGCAAGGGCGAGGCTCTCTTCCAGGTAACCGGTCTTGGCGAAGTCTGTGAGGTGTGCGAGTAGTGTAGACTCATTGTAAGAGAGAGTAATAGATACATTGGTTTGCAACAGGTGAACACGTGGCTGACATGGCTGCAGCAGCAGGAGTCTGAAGACGAGGAGGCGGAGGACTAGGCGCCGCGCCGCGCTCACGACGTCGCACACTCGCACTGCTTTCGTTTGCGCTCATCTCATATAAATATAATTAAGCCAAATAGTTAAAAACCTTTGTTACCCTTTAACTCTCGAAGCGCCGTTCTCGGCGACTCCTGTGTTAAATAGGTCAATTTTTAGGTTATACTACGTAAACAAATGATAGTATCTCGAGATAATTTTTTGTAGGCCTTTTACTCGATTTTGATACTTTTTACAAATGTATACAATGTATAGTGTTCGTTTGAACGTATGATTGCACCCCGACCTGCCCCTCTCTCCCTCAATGAGCGTACTTTAGTTTAAATTGTATAAATATATGTATGGAAAACTTAAATCAATTTCTATTATTAATATCATGATCATTTATTTTCAATACTAAATGGACTTAGTGGATAAACTGTAAGAATGCTTAAATTTCATTGTATTATCAGATTTTAGAATTTTGTAACTAGATAAATCAAAAAAAAAAAAAACGATTATTTCCTTGGGCATAAGACAATGTATGATGATCGAGTGATTTGTAATAAAGTTGTGAAGTGATGCAAGTTAAATAAGTAACATTGGTCAATATGTATTCAAGATGAGAAATAAACTTCAGTGTAATTTATTATACAAGTTGTTTTATTTTAATACATTTCAAAATTGAAATGACCAAAATCATATGGTTCACTCTAGAAATACATCAGATATCCACAAAATAGTACTCATACTTAAAATAACTAATTGTAATACTCAAATCCATGCATTTGATAACCATGACGGCTTTACTGAAGACCGCTGTGTTCCAGAATTAATGGTGCTGCAACAAAGTGGAAATAAGTACATCTGTAAAAAAGTATTAAGTACTATGCTCCCAATCTGTGAGTAAACTTAAAGATATTCATGTAATTTCAAAATATGCAAACTAAATTCATTATATGAAGTAATATATATATGTCAAAAGATTATTTTAGATAAAATTTTGGTAATGAAGTTTGAAGTCTGAATAAAAGAATTAATATTCTACTGGAGTAAACCTGTCAAGGTTCTGATATCACTTTTTTGTTTTTTTTTTTTGTTGGCATTCCTTTTGGAAAGTTTCTATCTAGTGTTGTTGTACATGCCTTTTTTGCTTAAGCATAGCATAAATAATCTATATAATAATATCTTAAGTCACAATTCAAAGCTTTGTCAAACACCTATGTCGAGGATGCAAGGAACTCTTGACCGTCTATCTGTTCCAATGAAAATTTTCAACTGGAAGATAGCTAATAAAAACAGTGGGATATTCCTTCGGTACAGAGAGTACAGAAAGCTCTGTTTCAATGTTTAAATGAAGATTTAGAGCATACTCATTTTCTAAATGTTTCATCTTAAGAATTAAGTTATTGAATTTAACATCAAGTACATTGGCCACATTACTTCACAATGAAAGCTAACACATTGCTGTAGGAATCAATCTGGGGGCACTAATTCGTCAACCACACCAATGCCCTTGTGATGTCAATGTACATAAATATGGCTTCCACAGTTTTCTCGTAAAAAAAGCGTGTGTCACTTTTTCCGCCACTGTTACGACTCTGAATGACGTCATCCATGTGGCTATTATTTCCATTAACATTCCTTGTATTTTAAAGCCCTGAGGCATTTTCCATGATGAAGGCAAGAGATCCGACGGCTTAACCAAGGGAGGGAGAGGCAAAGCCCCCATTTGGAATGTTACTTATGTAAAATTTTTGCTTGCGTCTGATTATATGATATTTGTGTCATTTGCTGTTGAAACTTTAGATTTGTGGGTCCTCTCACCAAGAAAGTTTTAAAATATTTAGGAAATGCAGTTAGCTTTCCTGTCACCACGCCACATGGACTAAGTTTATTAGATAACATGTAATTTAAATAATATATATTTATTGTGAATACTTTTTCATAGTCTAATATAAAATTATAAATAATAAATGTTTTTTGTAAAATAATGTTGCCATATTTATTGCAATGAGATAACAAGACCTCTGAGTTTCTAGCCAATTCTTCTCTGGACAGGTCTTTTTTGATATTCAATGAGAACTTTAAACAAACCTATAATGAATAGAGAAATTTTGAATACTGATGTGTAATGATTTAACTCTGCACACAACAACTGCTTTGCACAACATTAAACAGAACATACCTCATAATTATAATATTTCAAAATAGTAATTATAAATAAATAGTAGATCTTTGGTAAGGTTTTTTAAAACTAAAACAAGTCATTGCAACTGATCTCTTACTGTCTCTAAAGATTTCACCACAGCATTCTCTACCAGTTGGCTGGTAGAGAATGTGTTATATCATTAAGCCTGCCCTTTGGGTTCTTCAATATTGTAAGTTATGCCATAAAGATTAAATAAATAAATCCTCTTCTATTGTGGTTATGGATGAAGGGTACCTGAGCACTCCTAGAGGATAGAATCGCTATCACTGCCTTCAATTGAATGCTTCAGTCACAACACAAATATTTTTTCATTGTAAACTGTTAACACCATAAACATCAGTTTACTCCAGTGGATTATTCAATCTACTATAGCCAGATAATTTTTCTGTTCCAACAATTAAACTTCATTCAATAATTTCAACCTAACCTTTAACTGTTTTAAGTTAACACTGGCATGCTGCTTTTCTTTGTAAATCCGCATGCTGTAGCGTGAAAATAATCAATTTATAAAAAAGATATTACTTTCATTTTTTTTCTAGGATATAAACATTGTAAGCTAGCTTTTTAGTGCCAGCTATCAGTGTCATTAAAATCTAAAATAGTGTAAATAGCAATCTAGACCTAAAAAGGAAATATTGATCTTACCAATTCTAATAGCAGCACAAAGTACACAAAAAGTTATGACGCTATTAATGGTATTTTCTCTCGCCTGCCTTTTTTCTTCCATAGGGTCAACTCTCTCCCCAAGTGGTAGACGAAACATGGTTAGTAGTAAATAAAGAATGTGCTATAAAATTAATATCACGCGATGGTTCTTGTACGTCCAATCAATAAAGATTTTAAGTTTTTAACCTATACTATTATCTATCTAACCTTTAACGTTTTGAATGACATTAAACGTCACTGCAATTTTTATTACATGTAGGCAAAACATCAAGATTAAAAAGAAAAAATGGATTTAAAACAGATTCTGTTTCGTTATAAGTATTTTCTTTTGTGAATGTGAACTGTAGTTTGTAAAAGTAAGAGGTAATTTCATAACATTCAGAATAAAACAGAAACATAACATGTTGTACTGTAGTATTGCCGTTAATAAAAGTATTTTTCAGTCTGTGACAATTAATTCTTGATAAGTTTAACACTGGGTTTAGTTTTTGAGAAACCTCGTAAATGTTTGTTAACCAAAAATGTATCAGTTTTATTTATATTATACATAGTTGTTATACCATACCTATAAATAATGTTTTAATTGTTGATTTTCTGAAAATACTTCATAAAAATATAAGTGGAAGTTGAAAGTTGCGCAACATGGCGAATTCTGCTCAGCTGCTATAATGGAAATTGTAAATCTTTTGTGACTTGTGACACGCTCTAGTTAATTTAAAATAAGTTACTATTTACTGTTAGTTTAATCCGTTCGGTGTCATTAGCAAAGGTGATGGGACAATTTGTGAGTCCGTGTAGCTAAGCGCGAACTTGGTGTTGACGTTTCTGACTAGTGCCTCCTTAGTCCTTTCTGTTCGGGAGTGCCTAAAAGATATCCGTCAAGCTGGAGCGACTCCCGGAGTACCTGCGTGACACCGTCGACTGGTTCATGGGGTAAGGCTTTGAATTTGATGATAATTTTCGGTGCATACAATAATCATCAGTTTGGGTAAATGCCACAAAATACCTTTGGAAAATTATTTCATTATATTTTCAGGGTCCAATTTTGAAATGATTACAATATTAGATTATTGATTATTTAAATAGATACGTTACATTTCTACAAATTTTAATGACACATTAATTGTTATAATGCAGTATTAAATCATCTATATCCTCTACTACTAGAGATAACCGCTAAGAAAAGCTTTACTGTCCCCAGCAATGCTCTCTGGAACCTTATATTTAATCTTATTACATTTTTTTATCCAAATTTGGCCAATACTATTAAAAATTCAGTAAATATTTTCAATATTAACAAATAAATGTATTTTTGTTAAAGCGATGACAATTTGTATTTTATTTGAAAATATATATTAACAGAGGTAACTGTATTGTTACAGTTATCTCTGTTAATCCATATGGGCTGAAATATATATACCTACTTTTTAAATTATATCTTAATTAATATGGAAGCATTACACTTCTTATTTATTATGAAAATTCTACTACAACTTAATTAGTAAAGAAAAGCCACTGACCTGAGAAGAACCGGCGAAAGAAACTGCTTGACATTTTTTTTTACATATTTGACAGTGAAAACATATTTACAATATAATAAAGTCTACTTCAGAGAGCCTCTAGCTATCAATTCATTTGTGAGTGTATTATCATTTGATGTATAACGTGAATATACAAGTTTTCCTTTACAATTTTTTTGAATATAGGAATTTAAATTTTATTTATTATAATTTATTGTTTTGTAAATGTAGAAATTAGTTTTTTTTATTTTGCTATGTATGACTGTATGTATGTATGTATATGGAATATATAGAGCTATATTCAATATTGTTTGTCAATTTTAATCTTGTTAAAACTAAATGGGTAAATGTGTTTTTGTATGCCTTATTCATTTTTGTACTAAACCGAAAATGATTGTTCAGAAAATCTTCCTTGTTTCTTTTATTCTCTTTTGCTGTCCATACCTTACAAATTTTGAAACAGATGTATCTGTCTATGTATAAATTATTATTTTGACACCAGAGACAACTTTTACATTTTACATTCACACAACCGTACATTACATAGCCATTAGATTGCGTGTTATCGCGTGCGTGGTGACGTTTTTGCCTACGATTTGGCGGCAAAATGTTAACGTGACGGTGCGAGGTGCTCCGACGCCGCGGCGCAGGTGAGGAGGCGCGGCAGTCAGGCGTCGTGCGCACCCGCGATCACCGCGTACCGGCACCGCTCACCCGCGCTCACCCGCGCTCACTCGCGCTCACCCGCGCTCACTCGCGCTCACACGCTCTCACCGACGGCCATGAGCGGCGGCGAGCGCGAGCTGCGCCGCTGGCCGGGCGCGATGCTGCGCCGCGGCTCTCGGCGGCTGCTGCGTCTCAAGTACCGCGTGCCGCCGGCCGCGCTGCCCCTCGACATCGACGACACCGTGTCTTGCTTCTGCAGGTGCGCTGCCCAGCCCGCGCCGTTGCCCACGGCCGGGCCGTTTCTCTTATCCGTCGTTCCCACGGTGCCCACGCCGCGCCGTGCGGAGACTAGTGCTCACATCCCATGAGTGACGAGTCGTCATTCGCGTTTTTTCGATACGTTTAGCGGAAAGTTACGGATTTTCCTTGAGCGAATTGTCACAACTGTGTCGCGTGAGCCTCGCGACAATATGTGTAAACATAAGACGCGGGCGCGGGGGGCGGCTAATGGCGGGGCGCGGGCGAGGTGATGGCGAAATCCTCGCCGCTTATCGAAGCTATCGCCTCACCTGCGTGACGTCACGCCGGTGTTGTTTCAGCGCCATCGCTCCGCCCTGCTCGGCTCTAACTTAATAACAAGAGAAACGACACTGTCGCCAAGGTCCCGGAGTAAATGGATTAGCAATCGCATGGAAGGTGATTGTGTCGTTTTTACTAATCTAAAGACAATCGCAGTTGTCTCATTAGGCAAGTTTTATAGGCGTAGATCCATCCGTGGATGCGTGTTGCGGAGGCACCGGTGACCGGGCGCAATGCCGCACTGATTGCCTCCACTTGACTTCGATACCAGACTAATTGTGCCACTTGCGGCGCACGCGCAACCGCACGCGTACACACGCACACACGCGCGCGCGCGTCACCCACACACCATAGTCCACCTCCAGTTACTACCCGACAATGCTTTGTTTTTCATCAAACAAAGCATTGTCGGTCTCCAATTGTGCGTTTTCTATATGACAATAAAATTTTTATACTAATACTATATTTAATATGATCAAATCTTAGTAAATGTAACCTATATAACCTAACTTCTAACACTTTGTCACACAATTTATTCTTTATTAAATACATATAACTATCATTTAGCCTATTTATTAGATAACCGCAGTATTCATGGTTGCTTAGCTTTTTCCTACTTTTTTTTAGCAATAGCAATAAATAGCAGTAGTATTATGGTGTACAACCATTACATAATAGTGAACAAAGACCCACTCCAAAAATTTTTAAAAATATGTTAGAGGTTAAGTAGATTAGGTTAGATTTGATTATATCAGATTTAGTATTATTTTAAAATTTTTCATGCTAATGGAGTTTTTTGAAAACGGTTCTTTTTTGTTAAAAAACTTTTTATTTCTTTTATTTTTAGTGATTTAATTTGAATACCTAGGTATTATAAAATATGGGTGGACCTATATATGACGCCATTTTCCTACATTAGAAAATGGCGTCAAACTGAAACGGGGGGTTACAGTGGCGGATTTGTAGCCTTGACCGCCCTAGGCTCCAGCCTATGTAGTAGGTTCCAGCCACCCCTTTCTCAGCGCCCATCATAAAATGTAAATCATCAGTGGCATTTTTGGTTCGATTAGCCGCCCCTTATATGTGGCCGCCCTATTAGGGCCTATTGGGCCTATTTGGCCTTAGGGCAAACCCGCCACTGGGGTGTGAAAAAGGAACACGATTAAAAGCAAATGAGGAAGTTTATTTACAAAGATTACCAATCACCTTGGTGAATTGCCAATGGCTCAATTTGAATTGCTTTGCGAACGTCAAGGAATGGATATTTTGCCGATGTAGTTGCACTTTGAATTTATCTCACTGTAAAGTAAGTATACGCTTACAATGCACACATGAAGCTGAGAACTCGCAAACTGCGTATTACTTTTGTAAATGCGCTGATTTCGCGTTCTCAACAAAACTGAATACATCTGCTTAATCTTTTCGAGTTTACAAATGTGATGTAATATTGTGTGATTGCACAAAACAAGCGATGTTTGTATGATAACATAAATCGCGGTTTCTTTTATGTGAAAAAGTGGCAAACGAGCTGGCGGTTCACCTGATGTTAAGTGGTAACCACCGCTTGTGGACATTTGCAACAGCCGTGGGGTTGCAAATGCGGTGCCACCTTTAAATAAAGTGGTCTGTTAGGTCGTGGTACTTACCCGGATGTGCAACAGTGAACCCTGTTGCGTGGCCCTACCACACACGGTTGATTTGCTTTCGTTGTTTTGAAAAGTTCTCCTCCTCCTCCTCCGGGTATCTTCTATAAAGAGAAGACCGGCGTGAACTGATACTACGTTTTATCAGGTTAACCTGCTCATTTTCCACGTTTACACATAAAAAAACAAAGAACTGGTGAGCATTCAACCGAACCCGTTGTAAGTGTTAATTTATATATATATATATATATATATATATATATATATATATATATGTAAAGAAAAATATTATTTACTTTTATTTAAATATTTTCTTTAATTTAAATATTTTCGCGCACTGGCCGTTGATAAAATTTATTTTAAAAAGTATGTTTGACGCCGGATTATAATAGAAAAAGAATTAAGCTGTCATATGAAACAATTCATGAAAATAATCTTATTACAAAAATATTTAATAAAATAGTGATTTAGGAATCGACATTGTGATTATTAACATTAAATGTCGTTTTATAAGAATATTTTTACATATAAAACGACATTTTCTGTAAAAAAAATGGAAAAGTTGAAGTACGTTTCAAGTTAAGCCAGCAGTAGACGGAAAGTCAAATTATATTGCCATAACCTCAGTTGCCAAACAAGATGACAAAGTTTTCCTGATTCCTGAGGAGTATCAAGCAGTATCACTTCACAAGCATATCCAAACTTCTAAAGCTTTCGTTACAGTTAAAAATACATTAAAAAAAAGACATCAAACTAGAAGTGTTTGGATAAAAATGACAGAAGATACATTACAAACATACCTTGATGAAGATGGTAACATGATTTTTCAGGATCAATCCCTTGAGGAAATAACTCCAGAACAAACGGCTATTATCAATAAAAATGATTCGGAAAGTCCTATCGTCAAAATTTTGGAAAAATTGATTGAAGGCCAACAAAGCAAAGAAAAACAATGTATAAAAAAGCTAGCCGACAGGTTTGTGATTGAAAAGTTTGATGGAAAACGGGCAAGTGTATATCATTGGATGGAAATATTTGAAAAAGAATGTGCAAGGTTTGATATAGTAAAAGATGAAGAAAAAATTGAAATCTTCAGGCTGTTTCTAGAAAAATCATGCACTGATTGGTATTCTTCCATGATGATCAAGCTTAGTTTACAATCAGAGTGGTTGGAATGGAAATCAAACTTTTTGCAAACCTATGCTAATAAAGGTTGGATTACTAGCAAGTACGCTTTATTTTTCAAATATCAATCGGGATCTTTATTATATTTTATTTAGAATATGCTATAAAAAAAGAAAAACTTATGCTTGAAGTAAGAAAAACAATTGATGAAGGCACCCTTATTGATGTAATTGCTGCGGGCTTACCAGATTTTATAACGGATAGGATCAACAAGGAAGATATTGTACAAACAAAAGACTTATTCAATCAACTCGGCAAACTAGAACATTTGGTTACAAAGAGGAAATTTATTAAAAATACTAACAAAAGTAACTTGATGAAAGAAAAATGTAACATTTGTGAAAAACTAAATAAAGGTGTACGATATCATTCAGAAGACATATGTTGGTTTAAAAAATATATAAATAATGAAAAAGAAAAAGATAAGAAACAAATAAAGCTAATAAACAATTCAGAATTAGAATGTGAACTGCAATATGAAGACCAAAAAAACTAATAATGCCGCCATTAATTAAAGTAAAATTAGTATTGAATAAAAAAGTTGAAATATATGGAATCTATGATTCAGGCTCTAATGTGTCATTGATAAATTCAAGATTGCTAAAGATAAGCAATAAGGAATTAAGTTTTTCTAACAATACTAATTTAAAAACAATTAATGGCGTTAAAAATGGCTAGAGGCGTAGTAACACTTAATGTAACAATTTTTAATGTTGAGAAAAATATGGATGTCCTTGTAATAGACAAGGAAAATTTCGATTACGATTTTTTAATTGGACTAGATTGTATCAAAAAGTTTTACTTAATCCAAAATGAAAACTTAGAAATACATCAGAAAGTTCCTATACAAAGATGTGAAATAGTTTCTAAGGGAAACAAAATAAAACAGATATTGATATTTCTAAGGAAATAAAATCTGATAATTTAATAAATTTCAACGAAAACTTCAGTGTAGAGAACTTCAAAATTTGTATAAATCATCTAGACTATCAAAAACAAGCAGTAATTGATGACTTGATATTGAACAATAAATCTGTTTTTGCAAAGGGCAAATATGACATCGGAACGGTAACGGATTATGAAGCACATATTGATCTGATAGTAGAAAAATATTGCAGTAAAAGGCCATATCGTTGCACCATTGAAGATAAAAAGGAGATAGAAAATCAGATTGCGAAATTGTTGGAAAAAAATATAATAGAAGAATCATATAGTCCGTTTGCAACCCCAGTTACATTAGCTTATAAAAGAGAAGAAAATAAAAAATCAAGACTGTGCATAGATTTTCGTGACTTAAATAAAATTGTTGTTCCGCAGTCACAGCCGTTTCTACTTATTGAACACCTAATAGTAAAAACAAGAGATTGCAAATTTTTCTCAACATTGGACCTGAATTCAGCATTTTGGTCAATACCTCTGCGTGTCACAGACAGATATAAAACTGCATTCGTCACACAGGAAGGTCACTTTCAATGGACTTGTTTACCATTCGGCCTAAAAACCTCGCCAGCAATATTCCAGAGAATTAACTACGAAACTACTTAAGTAAATAAACGAGATTATCATATATACATACAAGGTATCAATGGGTGGATATATCTGGGTGATATCTCTGGGGTGTTCTGCCAAATATCTTTCCGATATTTGTTCCAGGACATACGGGTACGCGACCCCGGGTCCTCGAGCCACCACTTTCACACCCTCACCTAGTCCGTGAAAGTTGTGTCCCTTATCCTGCCTACCATATCCTTCTGTTCTTTCCCTATCCCCCCCCCCCCCCCAAATCTACTCCCTATCCTGGTTTTTCCCCCAAAGTGGGGTTTTGGAGGTCAGACGGCAATCGCTCCATGTAAAACCAATTACAGCCGTTTCAAATGGTTACGAAAGAGAAAAGACTGGGTATGGCTAGGGCGTCGCCGCTAAACGACGCGCAGGCACATCGCCCTAAACCTGCGATA